AGCTGAACTGTGGGCATCTGCTGACACAGTTGAACTCAAACATCTCAGCCATTTGACTGACAAGGATAACAGATGCTGACATTATCAAATAGTACCATGCTTCTTTCCATAGTCATTTTTTGTCCAGATATGGCCATTACATGAAAACTATTGCCATCCAAAAGGACACTTGAGCAGCTGGATCAGTCCAACAGTTTCCATATAAATGATAAAAATAGACATCAGTTTTATAGCAGCCTTAAATACTCAAATTAAACTATATACATGTTACACTTCTGTTGAAACAACAAAAATGTGTATTTACAGAAATCTCCCCACCAGAAGACTTGCAACAAAGCAGAGAGACTATATTTGATGTATGCATTATTAATATATGATCTGAAATGCCACTGTGCCCTCTAGTCTGGCTCAACATTTCTAGCTTTCAAATAAAATACTGCTTTCTACTTTTACTGCCATGTTTAAACTAATCATCTTTTATTAACCAAACCACATGCATTTTTTACTCTGATTTCAAAGGTTACGTGGTGCATTATAACTGCATCCTAAAGAGAGAGGAAAGCAATTTTAACACATCCCCAGAGATTCTCTATAGAAATAACATTATTGTAGAAAAGGCCTTTAGAAATATTAACTGGGGTTTTAGTTAACAATTGTAAAAGCATTATAACAGGCAAGGGCCAATACTACTCCTTTTCTTTCACCAAACCAGCTTTCTACCAAACAGCTGCTGCAACTAAGATGGTAGGAGAGTTCATAATGCTTACCATTAGAGCAAGAGGAAACTAGCAAGGCAACATGAAAGAGTAGAAACATTTCTGGAACAGGGCAGGTCAGGCGAGCTCTCAGAAGAGTGCTCTACTGGTATGTCCTGCTCCAGAAACAAGCATTTCTGCTCACTTCCAGGGTTGCTTTCAGATCATGTACATCAGGGGTACATAACTTTTTCACCAGGGGGCAGTTGAAAGGTGCCAGTGCTGGGTGTAGGCCAGAAAGTTGGTGCTGGTGATATGCGTGGGCCAGCGAGGGGATGGAGGTGGTGCGTGTGGGCACACGTGCTGAGGTGGGGGCAGGGTGCAAGGCAAAGTGAGGTGGGGGTGGGCACGCGCCGTGAGGTGGGCACATGAGGCAGCAGCTTGCTCACTTGGAGATCATTTCCGCCAAGTGAGCAAACCGCTGCCTCCCTGCGCATGGGGCGAGGTGAGTGGTGACAGGTGCACACGTGGGTGCAGGCGTGCATGCGGCAGGTCCAAATGGGCACGGTGGGCCAGATCTGGCCCCCAGGCCGTAGTTTGAGGACCCATGATGTACATTGTAAATGCCCCAGGTCTCATGAATAACAGCAACAGTACTGGATACAGTCCATACTATTTCCTTTCACTGATAAATATGCTGCCCATATAGCCAACAATATAACATTATTAATATTTACAGCTCAGTGGTCCCAAGGAAAATGGCTCAAGTAACTATGCCTTGAGTTTTCCTAAAAGTTATGATTACAAAAAAGTATAAATGGAAAATACAAAAATTAATTATTGAAAGCCTTTAAAGTATTTCCTCTATAACTTAACATTTGGAGTTTCTATTTTGTATCTTTTTATAATATAGAAAAGAGTCATTTTATGGGAAATTTCTCATTTAAATTCATGTATATTTCATTAGGACTTATATTTACATTTCATTACTACAACATGAAAACAGCTATATGTTTCCTAAACTTCAATGCTTTGCTAAAGCTGGTAAAATGGAACCAAATCACTTCTTTAATGGATTTGGTCCCCTTCAACCAGCTGTAGCTATGTATTGATCACTACAGGACAAATGCGTTGAACAGCAAGAAATGAAACTATGTAAGAAAAAAAGTCTGTTTAAAAGTAGTAAAGTTCATAATTACAAGCAAACTTTATAAAGCATCTGTCCCTATTCTAGAAAATAATTGGTACTTTGGTTCTAAACCAAAAGGTACACATTGAAAGTTATTGTTTCCCTCCCTAAACATACATTCTGTTGTAAAGCATTATGGACAATATGCGATGGTGACCACTTGCGAACAGCTACTCCACAGGCTCCACATTCTGCAAGTGGCACTCACTGCTTGTGCAACAGATTTAGCATTTCCAGGGGCAACCCTGTAAAGCAGCAAGTTGTTAGAGCTTGTCTAAGCAGCGATTGCACCTGCCGGCATACAAAACATCTCTAAGATCTTCATGCTAATGATTTCACTCTTTTTAGTGTCATTTACTTTGTTTGTATTTTTGTTTTGTTCTGTTTGAGGAGCAAACTTTAAGCTACTTCCCGTAAAATAAATGCAAAAATATTCAAATACATTTGATTGACGGTTCCTCTATTTTCATGGTGTTTTTGCTTATCTCAAATTAAGATCAGAGAATAGTATGAAATCTTCCATAGCATAATGGAAGATGCTTTTCCATTATGCTGCACAAAAATCAACAAAAAAGTAAACAAACTCTATTAATAGGATAATGTGAAGATTTTTCCCCAGTAAATAAATGCTTCAGATGGGAATAAATGTGTCAAATTATCCATAATTGTGCTAATCGTAAGCCACTGTGGGATCAAACAGTAATAGTGGGGTCCGATATACCTCTAACCAATGAACCAATGTTCAGAAGGCAATCAAATCTCTGCAGGACCAATCTCAGATATTGATCACCTTTTAAATTCAAATATTTAGGCCTTGTTTACTTATGTTACTGTGTGGTTACTGCAAAGACAAAGGCCTGTTCAGTAATGCACAGCGCTGAAATTTGGAAGTAAAAAATCAAAGCAGGCTGCAGCCAAGTTTGCAGCCTAAGCTGGGCTCCTGAAATGTCCAGACAGTTGCTGGATAAGCTTTCATGTCTTCTCAGTGGAGGACTGAGAGAATTTCTCCAGTGAGTGCCAGGAAATCCCACGATGCAGGTGAGTAAACCTACTTCAGAAACTAAGAGTCACCCAGAGAAAGGAAAAGGAATGTAATTACTGAAATCTGCGGAACTATAATGATGATTGGTATTAACAGATCTGAAGTCAGGAATGCTGTGAACCAGGAGAATGCAGGACTGTTGCTGAATGCGTTTCCATGATTTGAGGACAGTTCACTCTGTGACAATACTTCAGTCCTTTGGCATGCTATTGGATTAGCAGAACAATTTTCAGCCTTTCCTCAGCAAATTATGCATGCAGACAGACATTCAGCTTACTATGGTACATCTGATGTGTCATCTTTCATGTAAGCATGCTATTTAAGTATAACACTGGACTGGAGGTGGTATTAAAAGAGTCTATTACCAGTACAAAGAAATTCAGATTAGGACATGGATGTGCGGGAGCAAAGCTATAAGAGATGAATATCATAGCTCTTTGGTTAAAATGCCCCCTCATCAAAAAATAAAAATTCCTGTATTACAGGCCAAAATAAGAAAAGCCACATTCACTTGAAGAAAATATATCCTGTTGAAGTGCAAGCTTCATAACTTTTAAACTACTTATACTCTCTGGAGTGGGTAAAAAATTCAATCTTGTACAACTGCTAAGTGGGATAGTTTAAATTTGAATATGGTTAAGAATCACCATTTGTATTATGCATGGTGTAAAATGGCTAAATAATCACGAAACTGCTGCTTTTTAAAAGCAAAGCTTAATTGCTTATTTTTTTATAAATCCAGAATGATTTCCTATCTATACTGCACAACTATTATTGAGTCAGATATTGGATTAAATGTAACTTGTTTGGGATATCTACCTGTATTATTACACTGAAGAGGTGAGTAACTGCGTTGTGTTGTCACTGTTTCAAAATCATGATTTGAACTACCCGTACTTTAAAACCAAACCCATGGTTTGAGACTCCAAATGTGAACACATACCAAGCTTTAGAGCTCTTTGTTTTCACTTAAGGTCTCCTTGGCACTCAACTTCATAAATTCATTCCCACAGGCACTGAAAGAGCAGCTTTACGTATAGTTTGTCAATTCAGTCATTACACTAAGCAATGGTTAGGGCAAACTGTAATTCCCCAGTTCAGTTCAAATCATGGAATTTTAAAATTCTCTTTACTGGCTGTGCACAAAACATATTCTATCATTTCAGTCATCATTTCAAACCATAACTTAACTTTCTTAACCATATGACTGTATTAGTCAATCCCTCTCCGCCCTCCATATAAAAATCCAGGACCTATGAACCTCTATAAACAATGGCTCCACATCTCAAGGCAAGGTAAGTTGTTTCTTCTTCTTTTTAAAAATAAAAAGCTATTCTGTCCCAGAGGTATCACATTTCAGTTCTAGGCAAGGGACATCTCTGAATCAGTAACTTATCACTGAGCTATTCTTTTTCTGAAACCCATTTCAGATAGGATAAACCTCAGCTGTGACTCAGAAGTTACTTTTGCAGCATGACTGGCCCAAAGTCACCCTGTGAGCTTCAAGGCTGAAGAAGGACTAGAAGCTGGATTTCCCAAGTTCCAGTGCAGCAGTCAAACAACTGTGCCACTCTGGCTGTACTGCACTGCACTTGAAATCCTAATATGTGTGGACTTCCCATACTAGCATTAGTGTTCTTCTGAAAAAGAAAGATGATAGTAATGGAAAAATCATGTAATCAGGTCTAACTATGCAATATAAACACGTATAAGTATTAGTGGTATATAAACAGCTGTATTACAATGGTTAGATACTGTATCTGTTCCCTCTATCTGCCTGAAAAACTGCATCTTTTCTTAAATAGCTGTAATTCATCGTATGAAAGGTTGGCTTTATTTCCAGTTCTGTAAAAATCACAGCAATGGTTCTGATGAACCAATTACATTGCTAGATATTTCATTCCCAGACTGTTTCATTCTACTGTCATGGAAATACCCAGTTTATTACACATGAAACAGTTCAACACAGAGAAACTCTTTTCTGAATTTATGTATAATTTCTCCCATAAAAAACTGCTGGTTTAGCAGTTATGCTACTTACCAAACATTAGAAAGCAAGCAATGTTAACTGTACCTTGGATTTCCTCGTAGTGCAGCATGATGTAGAGCATTAAACCCATTGTTGTTCGTAATAGTAACATCTGCTCCAGCTTCTAGAAGGACTGCCAAGATGTCATCACGCTTTTTACTTATTGCATCATGAAGAGGAGTATCACCCTCAGAATCCTAAACAAAAAAGTTATTTTCTACAAATACCTATTTAAATACATATTCTAAGAGAAGACACCTGATTTTGAAAAGGCTACAGGTATAATTTGAGTTAAATAAATACACGCACACTTAACACACTTACATACACACATTATTATATAAATTTCACATAAATGTTAACTGGATCAGTGTAAATTGACTTTTGACAAAATACTATGACAGTCACTACTTTTACTATATCTTTACAGATATGTGACAGACAGACAGACAGACAGCGAATAAAGGAACAAGCTTATGCACATTTAGACAGAAAAGAGCTTACAGTTCCCAGGCAGTAAGCCATTTTTTCTGTCTAAACTTACACAGGCTTGTGCCTTAAGATACCTAAAATGTTTCCAGCAATGTTAAAATAATTTCAGTAGTTATATTCAATAGTTGAAAATTCTGCTAAACTGGAGTTGATACATTACATCCAAACCCAGACATTACTGGTTAATAGTGACTTATTATTTGTTGGCTAACTAAGGGCTGTTTAATACACAATTAACCACAATGTCCAGATTCAGATGTTAAAGAACAATTTTGGATCAAGTGAACTACAATTTCACAGCTCACAACAAATCAGAGGTTAATTAACCCACAGTTTATCACTGTTACATGTAAACTAGGTCAACTAGGTCATAGTCTCCAAGATATTTAAATGCAACTTTACTTAAAAGAATAAGAACAGAATGGTCTAAAACTTGAATCAAATCTGTATCTTTGGCATCAGTGCTAATGCATTTCTGGTGAAATGTACTTCTGGTAAATCACCAGAAGACAGTCTGTGATTTCAGAATGTAAACTTTAAAAGCAATCTCACACATGGCATTACTAAGAAAATATGAATTAATAAGTAAATAAAAAGTATATTGATCAGATATACCCTACCACTGCAAAGAATTATTTCAGGTCATTAAAAATAGAACTGAAAGTTTTACGGAGGATCTGTTTTAATGCTGCTTTTCAGAAGAATTAAAGTTTTTGCAGAGACAACATCCAGATATGCCATTCTATAATTTAAAGAAGAAAACAAATGGAATTAAGGGAACTTTATTCTTTTTGGTGCCTTTTATTAGGAAAATAAAACCTTTTTATTTTCCTAATGTTTTAAGATTTGTTTTAATAGGGGTTTTATCACTGTTTGGAAATGTTATTTGGATGCTGTGTTTTATTTTATATTCTCTTATTGTTAAACCATCCTGAGACCAAGGTAAGGGACGGTCTAGAAAAGTTTTAAATAAATAAATAAATGAAAGTAAGTGTCTCACTCTATGCCTAATCCCTGGTTGGCGGTACCATTGCTATTATGCCACCTTTTTGTTATATTGCAAGTTACATGCAACCTCAGTACCACTCAGGAAGGCCCCAAAGCACCTTATAAAGCAAATTAAAATGAAATATACTGAAATAGAAAACAGTAAGCACAAACTTTAAATTACTTGAAAGTATAAATCAACTAACATTACAGAATTTCTTCAAAAAAAACACTCTTCATAGTATTTCTGAATTAGAAAGAAAACCACACAAAGAAAAATGCATAGATGCTTCAGAGAGGATATCTAAAAGAAGCCTATGTACTGCTACCAGGAAAGGCCTGCCTCAAGTATTCAGCAAATTGGATTTCAATGGCCATGAAACAAAGACCTTCCCAAATAATCTGAATGGGTTCATAATTCCAGTATGAAATTTATTTATTTATTTATTAAAACATTTTTATGCCGCCCCATTCGCCGAAGCCTCGGGGCGGCTTACAACAACACATGAAATTAAAGCATGTGTAACAGTGCACCATGTGTAACAGTATAAACCTTTCTTCTCCACAAAAGGATGAAGACTGGCAAAGTATCTGAAGCTACAGTACACCCAGACAAAGACATAACAAGGCCATCAGGAGGAGTGGTGGTTCCAGAAAAACCTAGACTGCAAACCTTATCTTTCTGAGAGAGTACTATCCCATTTAGAAGACACTCATTCCTTGAACAGTGACCAAAGACACCACTGGCCTGGTCCACAAGTAAAAACTACACATGGTGCGGATTGTTGAAAATTGGGTTGTTGGAAACAACACTTAGGTAACTCTACTACAAATTCAATGCTGTATATCAACTATTTAACCCTCAAATAGGCCATGGTGGTCAGGTTTGCATAACATAGCAACCTCTGCCCATTTGCCCTGGTGAGGGGTTACATATTCAAGATGTTGCCCAGCACACACTACAACTTATCAAGGTGCACCAGGAAAGCAACAACCCTGATGAGTCCTTTATCTTGTTTAAACTGCCCTACTTGTCTGAACCTAGCCTTGCTAATGAAGTGGTTTGTCAACCAGCCACAAGCCAGCAAGAAAATCATTTGTTTACTGTTTGGTTATCGACTCTGGTTATGAATTGTCCCTGGGCTGTTTCTCCTGTTCAGCTGCACAGTACCAAAGCAGCCATCAACAGCAGCTTCAAAAGCAAGCCACTCTTCCTCCTGCTTTCCATAAGCTTCCATACATTCCAGCAACATTTTACCAGCAGCAACAACAAAAACAGTAACGTAACTTACCTGGAGACTAGGATGGCAACCAAAGTCTAGTAATGTTTTCACTACTTGGAGGTGACCTTTATTAACAGCAATATGAAGTGGCGTCTGTTTTCGTTTGTTGCGAGCATTGAGATCTGCACTGCCTCTATGTAACACCTCAATCACAGCTCCTTCATCACCAAAAGCTGCATGGTGAACAGCCCTGTCCCCGTCTTTGTCCTAAACAATTAACATTTAACTGAATTAGTCACTATTACTGTTGTTCTATAAAACACTTCTAAGTTTTGGCAGATGATTAAGCACTTTCAACACCATTAGTAAAGTGATACACTAATTATCTACCCTTTTTTTTATACACACATCCATATGAAAGCAAAGCAAAATATTTGTTATTTTGTGGAAATGTAAACAACATATAACAAGAGATTGGTCAAGCTACAACATAAATACCATTGCAGAGAAGTGGTTTAGGGATGCACAACAAACAAGATCATATGCTTCCTTCCCCTTCATATGCAAATAGCCTAGGCGCCATAGACTGACATTAAACATGACTGTTAATAAACCTACTGATAAGGCCACTGATAAAATGATATATAGAAATTAAAAAGGAGTAAAATATGGTCCTCACTGAGAAGCAATAAATGAAGTTCCAAATGTTTGAATTAGAACATAAAACATAGATGCATGTTTAAAATAACAAGCAATTCTGTTATTATTTTAGCACCAAATTTAAAAAATTACACTAAATTATTATAGGGAACTGTTATAGGTATTAAACTGAAAAAATAAGCCTGAGTTTACCTCTGCTTCTACATCCACATTTTGTTTAAGAAGCAATTTCAAAATGTCAACATGCCCATTCTGACTAGCAGCTTGCATAGCTGTGTGTCCTGCACACTGCCCATTCACCTGGAAATACATGATTAATCAAGTCAATAAAGCTTAAAATAGACATTTATTATATGTATATATTTCAAGAATTATACTATAATACGTGTAGGGGAAAAATCCAGTTAAATTGTGCATCAAGCAGATAGCTGTGCAACTTTTGTATCAAGTAGTAGGATTATCACCCTGATCATCCTTAGATGATAAACATTTGTAGTTTTTCCTGAGACCCTAGCTCATCGATAAGGGGCAAAAGAGCACCTTACTCCATTTTCTGGAGAAAAGGAGTTTTGACAGCTCCTTTTTAAAAGGGCATTTCAACAGGACAATAAGGGATGTTTGACTAAAATTTAGACAATCTTACACTGCACCACCCACTTTTTGGGACCAAAGTTCACGTGTGCCTTTGGCTTCCCATGACAACTCACCTTTTCACTGGTGTCAAGAGGAAAAGGAAAGACAAGCTATTTGTACTTCTCTGGACAATGTCTAGAGTTGATACCTGCTGCACCTTGGCAACCTGTACCTGCCCCCTTAGGTCATTGCCATAGCTGATGCTTCAAATTTTTGTTTTTGAGCAACTGCAAATCTTCACAGCCACTCTAACAGCCACTGACAGCCCCTCCAAGACTAAAAAGGATAAAAAGTAAACAGGGAAAAATCTGCAGCAATTAAAAAATGGCAAGCCAGGGCTAGGCCACAATTAAGTGCCACTTTGGAATTTGTGGGATGGCTGGCACTGGCAGGTGCTTAAGCAAACTTGGCAAGAACGGCAAGGGTAGTCAATTTCCAGTACCTACAGAGGGGTCAGTTAGCAGGATCGGATGACATGATGGGTTGTTGTCCCTTGTGAACACAGTTATTATGATCATAGTTCCAGCAACAAAGATTGCAAAGGGAAGATCTATCTCTGTTTTGGGAAATGCTTCCTTTTCTAAGACTTTGTTTTAATGAATTGGAAGCTCTTGGTTCCTTTTAAAAGTTAAAATTAGATACTCACATCCACATCTGGTTTCTTAAGCAAGTCTTCCACTTTAGCTACATCTCCATTAGCAGCTGCTTTAACAAGCTCTTCATTAAGATCCCCAGATTCTTGAGTTTCAAACAGTTTCTTCAATAACTGGGACAATCTCTCTGTGAATATTTTATTATAGTTATATTAAAATATGTTTCTTATTTTTGAAAAAATATTTATTAGGATCACAGTCACTGATGTGTTGTACTTGAATACATTTAGGTATTAAGGATAATACCTAAACATAACAGAAATCAATATTACAAATTGTTTTAAAGTTGCTTTGTAACTTGGTATTTTGCCTAGAAGCAACTATTACCTCCAGAAAAGCAGTATCAACTCCCTAATGGAAAAGGTTAGCAAGAACAGATATAGTGGAAAGTCGTTAAAATAAGACTGAGTGTACATTATTTTGTCACTATTTGCCATGCATTATCAGTTGAGTCTATGAGAAGAGAGTATATACAATTCAGGTGGGAGGAAAGGTTTTGGGAGAAACCAAAAAGGACTTAGGGATAGAAGCAGGTGTCGAGACATGATGAAAAATAAACACCTTTCCTTCAAGTATTGTCTTGAGGACATTTTCTATAACACCCCACAATAAAACTTAAAATAGTTTTCTTGTATTGAGCAAAAATTAAAAACTATTAGTCCACTATTCCTCCTGAAAATAGTGTTTAGGAGTGTTCCACATCAAGAAAATAACATGTTCCCTGAAGTTAACTAAGTGTTTTTGTTTTGTATTATTAGATAATCACACCTTTCACAATTACCAATCATGCAGACAAACTGCTAACTTACCACCAGATGCGTTGCTTATAGTGGAGCCTGCCGAAGCCACTTTTGACACAGCAGTTGGATTATATGTCCATGAAGTTCCACAAACCTCTACTTTTAAGTCACTGTCTGAATAGATCTGTTGGACCCTTCCAACTTTACCTAAAGTCTAAATTGAAGACACGACAAACCCAACACACATAATTTATAATGCCACATAGATACATCTTTCTACATCTTATGTTGAAGCTTTACTCTCTCATTCAGTCAAGTTGTATAAACACTGTTGCCTAGACCCTCAAGGTAAGTAATAGTGAAAACTAAAAAAGTGCACATTGGATAACTGATAAAAAAAATCCAGTCATTCCTACTATGATGCTGTTCAGAAAGACAAGCTGCTTTCCAATGATTTCAGACATTGTACAAGAAAACCGAATATTAGTGCCAGGTAATTTCAGGCAAGGATTTCTTGACCAATGAGTAAAATCCAGTCACTGGTCTACTGAACTGTTTTTTCTGTGATAGTATTTTGATCTTTTTATCACTATAGACTACTCCAGTATCTTTTAATGTAGAAAGTGTGCACATTTTACAATAAATAACATACTATCGTTGTGGTTATTTAAGCACCTACCATTATATTTCTTCTGTCTAGATGATGAGATTACCTTAAAATTAACAGAAGCAATAAATCATATGCCTGCACCACAAGTTGTGAGTAGATATAAGCATCCTGACAAGTAACACAAGGTCAGAGAAGACATAAGCTTTAGTCCATCAGCCAATTTTTGACTAGTACATACATTTATTTACATACTTATTGTATTTATAAAGCTTCCCCACAAAAGAAGTTCTCTGGGTGATTCCTAAGCCAATACAACTTTCAAGTATAGTATTTCTTCCCCTAATTGGAAGGGTGGGAATGTATAAGGTCACCTGCATGACACAATCAGAATAAGATTTCATGATTTCCCTTCAACACGAAACTCTCACACAGAAGAAACATTACCTGACCTAAAAGTCTGGAAGATAAATTCACAGGTACAAATGTACTTCAGTCCAAATGCTCCTTATATTGCACAATTTACACAACGGACTACAACATAGTCCTCCTATAGCACTTTTGAGTACTGTCACTTATACTATGTCCCCAGACTGCTGCTTCTAGCCACTTATTTTCTGTATGGAAAAAAAACCTCCCTGAGACATAAAATATCTCCAGAATCTACTGATTACACAAATGGGGTGTCTTTGTCTCCAAACCAAAGGGTATAAAATGTCCTTGTAGGATTTTCCAAAAAAAAAGTCCATGAAAGGAGGCTGAAGTACTCTGTACATCAGTAGGTTCACACAAACCATGAGATTTCACTAGGAAATAACAGGCTATCTCACAGGAGACAGATTTGCTATGAGATTAAAAATACACTGCAAGACTAACAATGTTGGTTCTTTAGTTGTAATAATTTTTACCTGCAATTTTATAATGACAATTTATAATGCTTTTCTAGCAGTTTCTTTCTCAAACATACGTCTGACACCACAAAAACATTGCCAGTTGTGGGGCATTCCAATACCGTATTACAAAATGACTTGTGGTACTAAAATGGCTCATCAAAAAGTTTGTGTAAATTTCTTATGAACTATGAACGAAGGTTAATTAAAAAATTGGTATAAACTTACAGGAAGCATTGCTTCAGCCCATTCACCATGTCCTCTTTGAAGTAACTTGATTCTTTCTAAGTCATAACAAACTTGGACAAGGTCACCCACTTGAAATTGTGAAGTTCCACCTTCAGCACCTTGACCAGGATCTCCACTTCGGACAACATTGGCTTTTGTTAGAACAGCAGGGTTAAATGTCCATCTAGAAAATACCAGTAATTTGAAATATTAAGAAAAGTGATGTTAAGCATTTTTGTGAAAACGTAACTAGATAACTGCATTGTTAACTAATCTGACACCTCATTTTGACAGTCTGCAACCCAAGTGTTTCTATGGTCGAGTCTATTAGCTGAAGGGAGCATATCTAAAGTTTTAATAGCAACATGAGAGGTATTCATGTGCAACACCATTAATAAAGGATCTAGGAAAGATCTAAAAAAATTACAGGCTGTTTAGTTTAATGTCTGTTCCGACTGAACTGATTGAAGGCAACATTAAAAATAAAATTGCCAAGCATACAGAAGGACAGAAGAAGAATCAACATAAATTCTGCAAAAGTGCATCCTGTCTCATGAAATGTTACAGTTTTTTGAAGTATTAATAAGCATGTGGATAAGAATGACCTGGTAGACATCACTTACTTGAACTTTCAAAAAGGTCCTGACAAAGTTCTCACTATAGGCTTCTGAGCAACTTAATCAAGAGGTAAGACCTCTTGTGAACTGACAACTGGTTAAAGAAATGGACATCTAAAAAGTGGAACTCCCAAGGATCTGTACTGGGATCAGTGCTTTCTAACTTAATGATCTGCAGTTAGGTGTGAACAATGAGGATGGAAAAACAAAAGAAACCTAGTTCTCACTTGGTCATGAAGCTCGCTGGATGACTTTGGCCTGTTACTCTCAGGCTAACCTACCATAGGTTTGCTGTTGTGAAGACATAACAGATCTACATAAGCTATCTTGGGTTTCTCACAACAGAAAAAAATTAAATCAAAAATTAAATTGATATAAATGCAATGTAGTAATAATAGTAGTAGTAATTAGCATTTTGGTTCAAGTATTTTACTTAAATGAAACAGGCTTTTCTGTTTCACTCTAAAAGAGATTCTATACCAAATGAGTTAAATGGGTGCAGCTAATCTTTATAAAATGGATATATATGCTAATCTTTATAAAAACAGAATAGTCTTTAATGTACTATTCAGCAAAAAATTCAGCAAAATTACAGTCAAGGTCAATAATAGCAAAAATTCTGTTGACTGACTAAGGGCATAAGCTTAACAGTTGTGCCCTCTATTTCTATAAGCCTCTGCATCCAGTCCAGAGCAGGAGGAACAGCAGCGGTGATTTCCAGCTCCTGCTTCTCCTGTTCTGCAGTTCAGCTACTTAAATGACTGATTTCAACCATTTATCTGTACTGCTTCAGAGTGGAAGGGGAAGCTAGAATACCGTCAGGGTAACACACAACTGTTTGGTCCCAATCTCCTCCCTATACCCCTTAACTGCTCTCCAAGGTTAATTTTCCAACTTAGAGAAGCAGTCATTCTTTCCACACAGGCTTCAAGAGAGAAGGGATCAGAGCACAGATGCCCAGCTCTGAGGCTGGAATTCCATCTCCAGCCTCAGATATGAGAATGATAAGTATCCCATAGTCCTTTAGATGTTGCCTAGTGGGCCAAAGAATTGTTCCTAAAGGAAATATAGAATAGTATAGTATAGAATGCAGTAATAGTGGACAGGTGGATAAAAGTTGCTTCTGTGCTATTGTAACTTGTGTTTCTTATATCTTCAGTTAAAATGCAAAACAAAAAATAATGAAACAAGTAATTTTCATACATATTTTTAGTATTTTCCTGTCCAATCTATAACTAAAAGGAATACATATTACATTCACATTCCTATTTTGGAATATGGCAGGAGTCAAAAGAATACTTAAGTACTAGCTAAATACTTCCTGATTTGTCAATATCTGCCTCTTAAAAATATGGAATTAATTTACCTATTGCAACTTGGATACTGTACAACAATATCATGATCTTCATCTATCCCACAAACTGTGCCAGTAGTAGTTAATGTTTCAAACATTCCATCAGTCCATCCTCCATGGCCATGCTGCAGAGACTGAACAATTTCTAAGTCAAGATCAATATTTACTAGATCACCGATCTGCAATCCACCAGGATTCCGATTCCCATTTTGTTCACCTATGGTTAGAATAAAATGACAAGATGTTTAGAAATGCTTCCAGTGTTGTTCTACTGTGTAATGCTGAAATCACAAAGAAAGGGAAAAGTGGCTTCAACAGCACACAGTACAACACTGCTGTTCCAACAACATAATCCTATTTGTGCTGATATGCTAGTTATGATTTCAGTGAAGCAAAATAGCTACTCCGTTGAAGTAGTTAGAAGTACAGCCACTAAGCAGTTCATATAGCATTATCACCATCAGATCTAGCATAGGTAAGGTCACAATCCCACACATGTTTCAACAGAAAAAAGTCCTACAACTCCCCACATTCCCCAGCCAGCCATCTTGACATGGATTGTTGGGAACTATAGGGCTTTTTTAGTTTAAACATGAATAGGACTATGCTCCATTTTTTCATATACTTTTTGCATTTCTATACTGCCCAATAGCCAGAACTCACTGTGCACAACATAATAAAGCACAATATAAAACCTCCAATATACAAAAATGTAAAACAGTTAAAAGTTTAACTATAATAAAAACTAAGCAAAACATTATTATCTTCACTTATGACTTCAAATTGTGCACACACAAATTCACAGTATTATATATAACAGAATTCAAATATTATTTGCACCAACTCACCAAGCACAGGACAATGATCTCGGTAGAAAGAACCTCCTTTTGCATCCTGAACACATTTAAGGTCTGACTAAAACAGAAAGGTGAGCGAGGAGAGATCTTTAGTTTCATCCCTTTGAATATAGACTGAATATATTCTAGTATTTGAACCACAATTGTGCAGTTACAGATACTGTCAAGAGACAATATCTATAATGACTTCATATATGGGTCCAGTTTTTTAAGCAATGTGTTTCACTAGTTGCCCTTACTTTATCCTCTTCCTTCTATGTGAATTGAGGGACAGATGACAGCACCTTTTCACAAATCCTATGTAATGATCCTGTTTTGTTTGGGATTTAAACCCTGGCTTCAAACTAATACTAACAGAAAGCTAGTGATGCTGCTGATACAAATATGACAGCAAATGCTGTCATCTCTCCAATGCCATATACCCTGTTCACCCAGATTCAACTCTGATACACTTATCACCTTTTACCACACAGCCTAACAATAAAAGTCACAGTAGTGTTTCCCAAAGCATAGTTCCTCTCTTTCTTAACAGTCAAATATATTTTCTACACTAATGCAATCCACCAGAACTCTGTCAGTTCTCTATATCAACAAGTATTACATACATATATCACTTTAATGATATACTTAACTAGCACAACAGAAAAGCTACATGGTATTTTATGTGTGTACTTTACAGGCTACATAAGCCAATTATTTGAAAAGTTTCCCCTATTTAATATACCTAGCAACAAATTCTAAAATGCGTCTTCTCCCTAACTGTTGTTGTGATTTCTAATCCAAATAGCAGCCATCTGGTGTTATCTCTGAAGTAATTCCCATTGGCCAAAGGTTGCTCAATACATGTATACTAAAGGGTGTACTGAACAGGAAGAGAAGCGACCTCTAATTCATATAATCTGGAACTGAGGGGAAAACAAAGAGACAGGTGGTGTATATGCCAACAAGTGCTGCTTCAAAGATCTGTTTCTTTATTACTTGGAGAAAAAAGCCCAGAACAATAAACTAGAGGTGCTGGCAGACTGCAGCATGAAAATAATAAGTCATCCAATGAGTTACACTTAACGTAATACATAACAATGCTGAAAATGAAAGGCTATAACTGATACTTCTAAGACAATAAAATTCATAGTTACACAACTACAAAGCAAAACACACGTTCACCTCCAAAAACAGCACACTGCACTATTTAATTTGTGACAATCTGACAGTGTATTTCAGTTAAACGTAATGAATGCAATTTATAGTCTTCTTTCCAAATTCAGTGTGATCAAAACAAATCAATGCATACAAAAAGGCTGCTTTCAGAAAACAGAAACAGTTAAATGAAACACCAACACAGGTTAAAGGATAACTTGAGCAAAAGCATATTTTTTAATTTACCACAATTTTGACAGACTATAAAAACTTTCTCTGTGCAATAAATAAAACATTTTGTCCAGGTGCAAAAGGGAAAACAAGATTTTATAGAGGAGAAAAACAATTAGCAAATCATTCTACGTTGAAAGAGAAAATGGGATTAATTTGAGGATTGATTGGAATATATTGGTAGTTTGCACAAAAACAAATGATTGTATTAAATCTAAGTTTCAAAAGAAAGAAACAATGAATTTGCTAATGCCTAGAAGTACGTTTGCCTAATAACCGCAGAATTATATTAAGCATCTTCATACTGTTTAAAAACTCTCATATTAAATACTTTATTCTAGTAATTAATGCATCAATGCAGTACATTAATTTTAACCTCAATTTAGAAGAAAAAAATCCTATATGTTCTATTTCCACTCTTACACATGCTGCAATTATACCCTAGCACTACTGAAATTGACATGAAAAAATTAGCAATCAAACTTGAACCTAATCAAGTCACAGAGTACTACCATACTATTAAAAAGACCAATAGACTTCTGGGTAATTACTTTTTAATTATCATCTTATCTAATCATTTCTAGAAAATAAAGATTAGATTTATTTTCTAGAAATAACATTTACAAAAATTAATAAATATCCTATTTACAAAAGTACTTGCCACTAAGACTGAACAGAGGCCCTTATACTAAAAAGTATAAGGACTGCATGTTTAATAAACCAAGACAAGACTTATGTATATGCATAAGCCATCCCTGCAGCTGTAGGAACAATGAAGTGCCTAATAGTATGCAAACTGACAGAAGGACATCACAAAAGAAGAGAACAGCACAGCACAAACCATTTTTACTATTCCTCCATGAAGCAATTTATTCTTTGCATTGTTTTATTCCTTACCATGCCCTCAAAGCCAACTCTGTAAAGGTTTTTAGCTCCATTGTCCCATAAAACATATGCTGCACTGTGTGGACTTGATGCACTCCAGTCTTGGATTTCAGTCACCTAGCAAAGCAAAGAAGAATATCTGCCTATGCAAAACAGTAAACAATCTTCTACAACCAAAAGTAAAGCATATTTATATTTATTGTTTGTTTCAAATGGGCAAGGATCAAGTACATTTGCGACAGGCTACAAACCTCCAAGTAGCCTGCCCTTGTCCTTGAGCTTCAACAGTTGAAAAAAGCCATTATAAAAGAACAAGAAGATGGTAAACTGGCTGCATGCTTCAATCATATGTCTAAGCAGGTTTGCACATGATCAATTTTATGTGCAATATACCGCAAATCAGTTACAACAAACCACAAAGGGTTCTAACCTCCGAATTTTTTGAGTCAGATGGTAATAGATTCCTAGAAAAACACCACTGGCCAGCAGTTCATAGATATAATGGTGGCAAAGAAGCAAGCTTTCTTCACCACCATCACTGCCTGCATTTGGTCATATTCATTACTCTCTATCTGCTGACCCCATCATTTCATCACCATCAGTTCCTTAGAATACCAGAGACCAACCACATGAGCTCTATGACTTGGACAAGGGGGCCTGAGCAAGGACATCTGAGCAAGTCTACAAGTCATTCTTTGTTCAGGAGACTCAGGCCTCAGCAAACATGGCAGATGCATCTTTGAAAAAATTCCCCAAACATACCATAGATAAGAGTTTATAAGCCCCTATGGGTACACAAGAGTTTATAAGATCCCTATGAGTCCACCACTTCTGCAAAGTTTCTGGTGGACTGTGGTCCTATGTGATGAGGTAACAATCTGTCTGTAACAGGCATTACCATAAATACTCTAAATTCTTACTTTGCCCCTACGACCATTGCCACCATCCTGATCTTCCCATTGCCAATCAACTCCTCGTACCACTCTGGCACCTGTGAAGATTCCTCTTGCAGTTATTTTCTTTGATTTACGGCGAGATTCTAATAATACCCTAAAATCGAATATAAATTATAGGTTAAATGATGATCAGACCAAACCCTGCTTTATTTTCAAAAAGGAAAGAAACTATATTAATTTTTTAAACTGAAATGTTAGTTTATTGAGCATCTCAGCATTTCTAAGAATGACAAGGATCTTTTCTATATCCACATCATAGCACTATTATTATTATTATTATTATTATTATTATTATAACATTTCTATGCACTATTTCATAACTAGAATTTTTTATTAATATGTGAATTTAAAAGTGACCTTTCACTTCCTGGTGTGGTTATTCTGTAAAAGCGATGTCTCAAATGATGTTTATCCCCATGATAGCACACTGAGCATAAGTCATAATTGGTGCATTCTGCACATTTCCATCGAATGCCAATTATTGGTTGCTGGCGACAAGTGTCACACATTGTTCCATCATGTTTAATTCCTGTGAAAATGAATGTGATCAGCACAAAAAATTGACTATACATATGCAAACATGGAGGTATACACAAACATAGTATAACAAAGAATATGATAGCATATCCAAAAACTAATTTAAAAAAACCAAAAAACATCATTTCCATAAATGTCCCAAACATTCTCCATACTGTCAGCATTATTTTTCAACACAATCACATACTAGATTCAGGTATTAATCAGGACAAGCATTCAACCAGGACTTCATTTCATGAAGCACAATTTCATATAAGCTGATGGGGATGCTACCCACTAAAAATCAACTTATAGCAATACACAGTTGTTATAAGAAGTGACTAAAGATAAAGCAGCAAGTATTGACATTAAAATCTTCTGTACAGAGAAATATGGCATATGTGCATAGTTTTAGGTACCTTTTTAAGTTGCTAAAATTCTTCTCTGCATGCTCAATGCACATGCAGACAGTGGCAGGCTCTATCCACTGAACATTAAAAGGCAGGCCTCTGATTACAAATCCTGAAACTGCTGAGTTCCTGATCATGTAAACCTTTCTACCATGCATATACTTGTAAGTTGCAGATGTACCTATCAACAAATGGAGGCAGAGCTGACACCACCCAATGTAAAGAAAGAAACTAGATGACGAGGCTGGAAAGGCTGAAGCATGTGAGATAAAGCAACAACATAATATTGGGCTATAAAATTATGAATGGAATTTAGAAAGGGGTTAAAGGATTTTCTCCTTCTCTTCCACCAGAAGTAACTGAATGAACTAATTGACAAAGACTTAAACATAACATAATGAAGTATTTCTTCATACCCCAGTCATTCAATGGGTGGTAACTGCACAAAGGGGAGCTCCCAGCAAGATCTGCCCAACACTGTCTGGGTAGGGCTTAACCAACCTATCACAATTTCAGCCCACTTAGTGGATGTGCACTGGTCAGACCTGCCCTGTTAACCCCATCCTGAGATATATACACATCAAGAACAACACTGACATCAGTAACAGCATGCTACTGTAGAGTGCACATGTGCCAAGTAGGTTTATAACTTGCCCTTAGCAATTGTGAGACTATCTATCATCATCCATCTAGGCTTCTTTTCCATTCTTCCCTAACAACGTCTCAGGTTTCAATCCACAGTTCTCAGTCAATCAAGTTCAGTAATGCAAATCAGTTCTTGATATAGACTTTAATTTCCTCAGAAATGCTATTTAAGGTGTATTTTGGCACTATATTTCTGCTATTGTTCTTTTCAGCCTAATTCTAATTATTGATATTAATAGTTCATGGACACTACTGAAATTGACTCCACCAACAGATCACAGTCTTGTTAACAAGCTGAGATGATCAGACTGCCAGAGTATCTTGGCTTACTCCATACCTTCCAAGACCAGAAGTTGGACAGATCATTCTGCAGTGCTACATTGACAAAGTCCCATTTCTTCCCTGCACTGAAAGATGTGTGGAGACAGAGAAAGGGCTGGATGAGTAGCAGAATTCAACTGGGACAGTGGAGCTTGAAGAAGGGCAGTTTTCAGGAACTGAATGGTATTTAATAGTGGGACAATTATATTAGCTGTATTTTTAACCCATCTAGTCTTTTTACTGAAAGTCTTTTAGTTGTTTAAATTGTTTTATATTTTCTATATTGACATTTTATGTTGTACTTTATTATCTGTGTTTGCAGTTTGTAATTTTATGAATTGTCATGAACTGCTCAAAAAGCTCCAACTACTGTAGAAAAGAATCATGAATAATAATTAAATAGACCTAATAACTTCTACAAATGATTGCATTTCAACTGTGTAATTTTAAACATTTTTTAACATTAAAGCTCTGACAAAACATAAAATTCTAGATAGCAATAAATGAAGGATCAAGCAAAATAAGGATGACTGAGCATTTAAACAGTATATACGCAAAAAGTAAATGATTTAATTTTAATTATTATAAAGTCAATCAAACATTGTAAGAAATCCTAGAGTGGGGCTTAACACACATTTTAACCTTTTTAAAGCCCTGGGAAGCACCCAACATTGTTGCTGTGCTCCTGCTGCTTTAGTTGAGACAGCAAGACAACAGGATCTAGTGGTTCCAAAACCAAGACTAGAAGCAAGTGGTCACTGGAGCTCCCTTCTCTGCTGACCTGTCCTGTTTCAGAACCAAGTGTTTTGCTAATTTATGACTGCTGCATGATCTACTAGATCAGCACTAGGTCTCTTTGCCATCTGTATAACACTGGATAGTGCTCTATAAGTGCATTTTTCAAATGAAATACAAGTCAATGATAACATAACAAACAACATAATTTACATGAAAGTGCTATTTTGGGTAAGCATGGTATTTCTTATAATTATGAACTCTCTTCTACTGAATCAGACTACCAGTCCACATAGTCAATTATTACCAAATTGAACCAACAACAAAACCAAACAAAGTTTCAAGAAGTTTCTTCCACTCCTGCTACCCTTTCACTTGAAACAAGAAATGCTATGGATAGAACCTGGGGCCTTCTCTATTTAAAAAAAAATCTAACTACCATGTATTGTTGAGAGGTTACGACCCTTGGAGAAATGATAGTTCAAGTGGAAGACCTGATGTGCCCAATATCCTATGACAATTTGAGAACTTGTTGCTCATAATGCTTTGTTTTCAGCCTACTATAATGTGATTTACACTGCCCAAGTAATACAACATAAATTTAAATAAAGAAGAAAGCTTGACCTGGTTTTCTCGACGGGGTGGGTGGCCTGGAAGTGAGAAATTTGACCTTAACTCCCTTGTCATGATCAGACCACTTCCTTGTGAGGTTTGTTCTCGGGGCCGATTCCTCCCTCCGGAAGGGTGCGGGCCCTATTAAGATAGTCCACCCTCAGAGCAAGATGGATCCAGATGGATTCCTGAGGGCTCTGGGGGATTTTCCAGCTGATAAAGCTGGCGCTCCTGTTGATGTCCTAGTCGATTCATGGAATGGGGAGATGACCAGGGCAATCGACATGATCACTCTTAAACATCCTCTCCCACCTAGCAGAGCCCACTCGGCACCATGGTATACGCCTGAGTTACGGGCCGATGAAGCCGGCTGGGAGACAATTAGAGCACAGGTGGAGGAAATCTTGGGACGAATCTGACCGAACACACTTATGTGCTCATTATCGAGCCTATGCTGTGGCGGTGAGGGCGGCGAAGAGGCAGTTCCCCTCCCCTTCCATTGCTTCCTCACAGTGCTGTCTGGCGGAGCTTTTCTGAATAGTGCAAGGCCTAACACACGCTGGCCAGGAAAATGATGTGGTCGCACAGTACACTGTGACGACTTTGCCCAGCACTTTAAGGAAAAAATTGCTCAGATTCGCCACAATCTAAACTCCACAGTTGATACTGTTCCAGTACGGGAAGAGCTCCATCTGGTCCATCTTTAATGGATGAGTTTCAGTTATTGCAGCCTGATGATGTGGACAAGGTGCTTGGGATGGTACGTCCTACCACCTGTCTTCTTGACCCTTGCCCTTCCTGGCTACTTAAGGAGGCCAGTTAAGGGATTGGTCCCTGGGTCCAGGAGGTTATAATGGCTCACTGAGGGAGGGCTGGGTCCCAGCCCCCTTGAAGGGGGCAGTGACCCGGCCTGTCCTGAAGAGGGCATCCCTGGACCCAGAGGTGGCCATCAACTTTAGACTTGTGGCCAATATTCCGTTTTTGGGCAAGGTGTTAAGAGCAGGTGGTGACGGGACAAGTCCAGGCACTCTTGGACGAAACTGATTATCTGGACCCATTTCAGTCTGGCTTCAGACCCGGTTATGGTACTGAATCTGCCCTGGTCGCCCTGTATGATGACCTGTGCAGGGAGAGGGAAGGGGGAGTGAGTCCCTGTTGGTTCTCCTGGTCCTCTCAGCGGCTTTCAATACCATCGAGCATGATATCCTTCTGGATAGGCTGACTGACTTGGGAGTAGGAGGCACTGCGTGGCAGTGGTTCCACTCCTATCTAGCCGGCCGATTCCAGATGGTGGTGCTGGGGGACTATAGCTCTGCGCCATGGCAGCTTTGCCACGGAGTTCTGCAGGGCTCTATTTTGTCCCTCATGCTATTTAACATCTACATGAAACCACTGGGAGAGATCATCAGGAGGTTTGGGCTGCGGAGTCATCAGTATGCTGATGACACCCAGCTCTACTGCTCATTTACATCTGCTCCAGGTGAGGTGGTGGCTGTACTGAACCGATGCCTGGCCGAGGTAATGGACTGGATGAGGACCAATAAACTGAGCCTCAATCCAGATAAGACAAAAGTCCTGTTGGTGGGCGGTACGGGTCTCTAGGTAGGTGATTTTGACCCAGTTCTGGATGGGGTAGTACTCGCTCTAAAGGACAAAGTCCGCAGCTTGGGAGTACTCCTTCACCCAGAGCTGTCACTGGAGTTCCAGGTGGCGGTGGTGGCAAGGAGTGCTTTCCTACAACATCGACTGATACACTAGCTGCGTCCTTACCTGGCTGAGCACTCCCTAGCAACAGTGATACATGCTCTGGTAACTTCCTGCTTGGATTACTGCAACATGCTCTATGTGGGGCTGCCCTTGAAAATGGTTTGGATACTGCAACTGGTGCAGAATAGAGCTGACAGGCTGCTGACAGGGACTGGCCATTACTCTCACATAATACCAGTTCTCTACCAGCTCTACTGGCTTCCAGTTGAAGACCAGATCCAATTCAAGGTGCTGGTTTTGACCTATAAAGCCCTAAACGGTTTGGGACCAGGATACCTGAAGGAACATCTCCTTCCTTATATGCCCTCACACCCCTTAAGATCTATGGGAGAAGCCCTATTCCAGGAACCCTCTCTAAGAGAGGTAAAAAGGTCATCAACTTGGAGTAGGGCCTTCTCTGCTGTGGCACCCAGACTCTGCAATGTACTCCCCAGAGTTACACCTGGTGCCAAGTTTATACTCTTTTCAGCGCCAGGCCAAAACCTTTTTATTTAAACAGTATTTTAAACTCTAAGTTTTAAGTTTAATTGCTCTGTTTGATTTATTGTTTTGTTCTGTTTTATTATTGAAATTGTTGTTTTAATTGTCCTTTTAAATATTTTAAGCCATCCTGAGATCTTATATAATAGGACAGCATACAAAAGCTTTGAATGAATGAATGAATGAATGAATGAATGAATGTTGTTGTATTTAGAAAGGCTGGATGGATTTGGCAATTACCCTGGAAAGTTTGATGCATCCAAAATTGATCAACAAACACTCAAAAGAATTCATGACCAAGGACAAAAATAGGCAGAGGTTTACTAGCATGTGTCTGTATTTCTTTTTAGAACTCAGCTTCAATAAATTCTAACATTTAAGTGAGGACAAGCTCACTGAATTCAATGGGGTTTACTACAGACAGGTGAATGCACTATTAAAGGGCCTTACAGTACCATCCTAGGAACTATGTTCCCCTTAGATGGAAGCTTCTAATCTTGGAGGCTTCCAAATACTCAGTGCAGTTATACTGCTTTCAATAGGTAAGAAAGAGCTATCTTTGCCTCTTCACACTTCTCTTACAGTTGTTTCCTCTAGATGCCCTTTGTGTCTAACTAAAGAAGGTGCACTGCTGGAGTTTCTTATATGCTGGCACCTTGCATTCCCTCCCCACCTTTCTCTCTTATCTCCAAAGACATAGTTGAAATATTGGTCAGTAGTAGTCACGGTTCTTTCCATGCCAGCTACAAGGACACAGGAGAGGACAACTGAAACTTAAGGATCCAACCTCACAAGATAATAGCAAACTTGAAGGTGTCCAACACAGTGCCTACAGGGGCAATGGCATCTCAGGCACCTCCAATTGAATCTGCAATGAGGCACCCCTGAGCACCTGGAAAAAAATTAAAATTGTTTTTCCATTTTTAATATATGTCCATAGATTTGTATGAAATACATAGGACATCCTAGCAAGTATACATAGGCTATACACAAGCAGATCAATATCCAAGTAAGTCTCATTGCCTCTATTCAGCCTTCTATTTGACACCCAACAGAACCTTTTAGTGTCAACTGTAGCATTTATATCTTGGACCTAAGAATATCTTAGTTCTGTCCAAGGACTGTTGTACCCTATTTGCTGGGTATTTTCAGGACAAGATATTCTGTCCAAATTTCAGGACTTAAGATTCCAACATTATAAAAGTTGCATTGCATGAGCTACCCAGAGGAGTCTGATCCAGTTTTAATGAATGAATTTCAGTTAGTATTGCTTAAGGAAACTGACTATGTACTTAGACAGGTTTGTGCAACCACTTTCATAATGTATCCTTGCACTCAAGGATGGAACAACCAGAGGAGCCTGGGAGGTGATCAATGCCTTCTTACAAAACAGAGTGGTCCTGTGCTGCCTGACAGTGGTAGCAGTGAGACTAATCCTAAAGAAATCATCTCTGCTCCTTGAAGATCTAATAACTTTAGCTATATAGCAAATTATCCTTTCTTGGGCCACTATTGAGTGGGTAGTAGTCAACCACTTCCAGGTACTCTTAGATGAGACAATTATCTGGATCCACTTCAGCTGGAAGCTCCAGCCAGGTTTTGGCAGGGAAACAGCTTTGGTCACCCTGTATGATGGAGGAGCATGACCCTATTGATACCCCTGGATATCTCTGAACTGATAACACCAATTCCCACTTGTATTGGCTGCCTGTATGTTTCCAAGCACAATTCAAGCTGCTAGTTTTAACCTAGTTGGCTTGTGACTACAATAGCTGATAGAATATTTCTCCCAACCACAGTCTACCCATATACTACAATCAACATCCAAGGACTGCCTCTGTGTGTCTCCTCTGAGGAAGGTCCAGAGGGCAAGAAAAAGTGGTCAAGTTTGTTCAACTATAACCCCTGACTGTTGAATTGTCTTCCCACTGATAACTCTGTCATCCTTAGCAACTTAAGACAACCCAGTATGCTAAAGGGGTTAAAGATATCTAAGGCCATCTGGGGAGTTTTAACTGGTTTATTTTGCATTAAATACTGTTTTAGTTGTTAGAGTGCTTTAAGAACCCTCATTATTTAACTTTTAATTGCATCACAGACCTGTTTAAGAACTGCCTAACTGTCAACAGGCCTTCAATTACTAAGTGGTACAGAAGTTAAATAATATGTACCCATTTGAAGTTGGTGTCTATATTAATTCATATAGCAAAAGAAGTGTAAGGTCCTCAGTCCACTACTCTATAGAAGGAGAGTGTTTATCATTCTAATTTTGCAATATCAGTCTTTTTTACTGTCAAAAGGTCTTTAACAAAGGTTCCATTCTCCCTTTCATTTGCTAATTTCCATGAAATGGATAAATAATTTAAAAGGGCATGTATATCTAAAAACTATTCCAGTACAAAATTTATCTGTGTAATAACATCCTCCCAAAAAGAAGCAACTACTGGATGTTGACAAAACATATGTTGAAAGAAACATTAACTGTATTGCACTATCAGCAGTCAGCTGAATTAGACAATCCCTTACTTAAGAGACATTGCAGTGTCCAATGCACATGATACAAAAGGTTTTGCTGAATAAAATACTGCTAAAGAGCCACTGACATGGTATTTTATGGAGGTGTTCACTGTCTCAGATTCCCAAAAGTGTCCACAAGTACAGACGGTTGAATTCCTGGTTTATGACCTGAGGAATGGGAATCTGAACAATCCTATGTTTCCTGGAATGCTTCCTAACAGACCATAGGATTATTTTCTTCAGTGTAATATTAAAATGATTCAAAGTTTCACTTGGCAATCACTTTTGTTTAAAAAAAAAACTTGCTTACGTAATTCTATAGTATATGCTTCCTTACACTATTTAAACTTTAGAAAAAATATGAATGCACTGAAACAGTTTCACATGCTAATGCTACCATGTGAAAAGAAATGTATATAATTACAATTTTTAACTGTGCAATTTAACTGTATTTGCATGAATTCATTATGGCACTACTAAATTTCATACAATATATATTTAAGAATAAAACATTTTCTACAGAAAGATATAACAAATGAAAAATTTCAGACTGCCATCACAGACTGCCATCTCTAACCAAATAGAGAATTTCATTAAAGGGATAGTAATGTACATCGCTTATTGTGTACACAAGTGATAACCAGGGTTCCTGAAGCAACTGTAGTTTGCTAGTACAGCCTTGAAGTACAGTCATACCACTGGCATCAAACAGCATCATCACTGTGTTTCTGTAAAAACAGGAACATCTGCCATCAACATTTTATTGCAATTTTAAAACAGAAGTGTCAAATTTAGATTTGCTTCCGTGGGGCCAAAAAGCTTTTCCTAGTCTAAGCAGAACTCAAAACTGGACTAAACTTCACAAGGTTATTAAAAAAAAGCTTTTTATCAAATGAACAATAAGACATGTCACAGGAACTTTCTATATACCTTACCAAAAATGTATTTCATATCATGCCTATGAATCTCTATGGCTAAATGGAAGTAGTTCAGCTTAAAAGTTGCTTCTTTGGGAGGACTGATATTTCATATGCAGTCCAAGGCTGCAAACCAATGTGCAGTAACCTGGGAATAAGCCAGAGCGAGTGCTCTGACTACAGATGCAAGGCACTGCATTGTAAACTTCTACATACATCTACTCTAAATACATCTACCAAGAAAGAAATATGACCAAATCAATCTTTTCACTGAAATGTTCTTTGCCTGGCATGAATAAGTTGATAGAACTTTCCTTGACTACTTCAAGGGGAAGTCTTCCCTATTACCAGCAATAAGGTTTGCTTCTACTCTGGGGAATCTGCCTTAGGTATACAGGTGGGCTCCATTCGGCTCTGCCATTCAGCAGTGTATGTCAATCTTCTGCATACTATTATCAGGAGAGTAAAGAGCCTGCCATAAGAAGGGATGCTTTAGTCCACTTCCACCAGCCCAGTTGCAGATGCTTAAATGTGGATCTACCCTAGGGTCGATCAGTGACCTACTCGGCTATGACTGCGATCCTGCACACACTTACCTGGAAATAAGTCCCGCTGAACTAAACAGGGCTTACTTCCAAGTAGACATACCTAGGATTGCGCTTTCTGTTGACTGCGATCTATTGTCCCCAACAAGAGACTGCAACCGGTTTCCCCGCCTAGACAGAGCTTTTGGGGAAAACCTTTAATCGCAATTATAAACCCCGAGGGCTTGGTAAGCCTTTGGCAGACATCCATGACCGCCCGGCTGCCTGGGCAGTCTGCGAGCCGGCGCTGGACGCCACGCCAGCCATGGGGAGCTGAAAGGCCTTACAGAAAAGGCGGCGGCGCGCTGGGGAGGGTCGCGTCTCCCCTTCCCTTCAGCCCAGCCTCGCCAAGCGCCCCTTCCTCTCACCAGTGGGCGCACTGTCGAGAATACGCAGGTCGTAGGCTCCCGAGCAGCGGTAGTTGGCGGCCGTGCCGTTGTCCCAGACCACCACCACCTCCTCGGGGCTCTCGAAGCTGCGCACGGTGCCCAGGTGGCCCTCGCCGCCGTCCTGCTTTCCCCACTTCCAGTCGGGACCTCTCACGACCCGGGCCCCGACGCCTTCCACCACCACACGGTTATTCCTCGAGTTGCTCATCTTCGCTCAGCGCTTTCGGCCGCCAAGAGCGCCCCTCACTAGTGGCAAGCACGGCAGGCCGCGCGCCGTTGACGCCGATAACGGAAAAACAAAGTCGAGCGAACGAATGGATTTCTTCACGGAAACGCCGGCACAACAAAGACGAAGCGCAGGAGCCAGAAACGGGCCAGCCGGCCGGCCTCCTGTACTTGAGGGGGTGGGGTTGGATGCGGCCCCCGCCAGCGGAGAGCAGCGCCTGCGGTTGTCAGAGTTGCCCCTCCCTCTTTACTCCCCAATGGTCTCTGCCTACTGGAGACGCTTGCTCTGCTTTTCCAAATGCAGGGGCGAAGCAAGCGCGGCTGCGCTACATCCGGGCTCCGTGACGGCAGCGCCACCACGGCCTTGGGCACGGAGGGAAGGCACTGGACTTTCCTGCGCATGCTCCGATGCGGCCATATCAGCCATATCAGCAAGAACGGCTCCATTCCGCACAAAGAGGGGCGCGGCTCCTTCGTGACACCTAGAGGGCTGAGACGTGTATCGCGTCCGATACGGCCGAAGGGCCGCTGCCCTGTGATTGTTCAGCGTTGCTTAATACGACGCGCTATGGGCAACGAAAACTATGTCAGGCTTTCGGCCGCCGAGAGCGCCCCTCACTAGTGGCAAGCACGGCAGGCCGCGCGCCGTTGACGCCGATAACGGAAAAACAAAGTCGAGCGAACGAATGGATTTCTTCACGGAAACGCCGGCACAACAAAGACGAAGCGCAGGAGTTTGTAACCGCCCCGTTTGACACATTATTCCATCAAGTGCTGAAAGTGTAGTTCCATCTTATATTAGTAGCCTGTCTACAACCTTGTTTTCTAAAATGAGAGCCAGGAGCAAGTAAATTGTATATCACTCTTACTTAATATATACAGCTTGTCATGGTAACTTTGCATGGAAATATTCCATCTGTTAAATGTATGGACTTTTTACAACTGCGTGCTGAACTGCAGCCCAAAAGTAACATCGCTTTTCCACAAAGGCTAATAACAAACAGAACCTAAACCTTTAGAAGTACAGCTGTTTTGCTGCTTTTGACACAGAGCCAAAGGCGGCAGTTGTCCCCATTATAGAATGCCCTTCCTACAAAGACTAAAGGCATGATCATATGACTGTTTAGACAGAAAATAAATCCTCCAGGCCCAGTACTGCTGTCTGGCACATGCTGGGAGCTGTAGAACTTTTTTCTAAACATGAATTAGATGGTGCTCTGTGTTGAAATTGTTGTTAGGTTATAGTTCTCAGGATAAAATGGAACTATGTAAACTGCTTTCAATTCCTTTCCTCAAAAGGAATATGCATGCAATATAGCAGCAGCAGATATATTTCCATTTTCAAAAACAAGTTTGAAACTCCTTCATTCATTGAGCCTTCTCTAGGCTGTTTGGTTCTCACAGAAATGCTATAAACTTTCTTAGCTGTACTCATGTTGTTCAAGGTTCATTTTGTTCATTTTGGACATTCAAGTCCCCTTCCTGTGAAAGCCAGGCAGAATGAATCATTCTCACATTCAACAGCCTGAGAAAACTCAATCAGCCCTTACTCATCAGATAAGCAACAAAGCTGACTCTCTCAGACTTCAGGCTTTCTCTGAATGATGTTTTTAAACCATTGTAGCAGATTTCTGAATTCTGTTAGGCTCTGAATGGCTTGGGACCACAATGTCCCTCCCAACCACAGTCCACTCAGATACTACAATCTACCTCTAAGGGCTTCCTCCAACTGCCACCTCCAAGGGAAGTCCTGAGGAGGCAACAAGGAAGATAACTTTCTCATTTATGGAATGATCTCCCCATTGAGGCACATCTGGCACCAAGACTGGCATTGTTTGCCCACCAATTTAGCACTGCCCTTTACTCCCAGCCATTGAATAGCATATGATGGGCCAAGTCAGCTGTATTAGGTCTAGTTTTTATTTTTAAAAATTGTTTAACTTTTAATTTTGTATATTGGGCTGCTAAGCTGTATTTTATTATTTGTATATTCATTGCCATGCATGTTTATTATTGTATCTGTGTGTATGAATTGTGAACTATCCAGAGAGCTTCAGCTATTGGGCAGTATAGAACAAGAGTGGTAGCTGTGTTTGTTGCATCAAAACTAATATGAAATCATATAACACTTTAACTTTATTATGATATGAAAACGGTAGATTTTTCTTTCTTATTAGGCACTTGAGTGTTATTGTCAGTTGACAACAGGGCTGCACCACTCTTCTATGTGACCTCAGTAAAGTGTTGCTGCTGCAACTGCCAAAACCCAACTCCACCCACCATTGCTGCTAATTACCTTCCTTTTTTCCTTCCTTTTCAGCAAGCTGAATGAATCACCCCCCCCCCCATACCCAATGAGAGTACAGGAGAGAGGAAGGGACTGTCCACCCAAAAGGCAGTGCCTGATTGGTACAACATGCTCTTGGTTCAAAACCTTGGATTTAAAAGCTTTGTAAGGATAAGGTCCTTTTGAGCAAGTGGGCCTTGGCAACTGCCCACACATGATGACCCCTAGCATATGCTGGCCTGATTGACATGTATCATATTTGTTGTTATGTGCTTCCAAGTTGTCTCCAACTCACAGCAACCCTGCCAATGAATGTCCTCCAACTCCTCCTGTCCTTAACAGTCCTGCTGAGCTCTTTTAAACATGGATAAAGAGAGGAAAAACAAAAAAGCTGTGCTACCTGGTAATGAAATACACACTAGAGTCAATTAGAGTTCAATTTTAAGCAAAATAACAATCCACAAGAGCAGTATTGGTGATAACGCAATCTTTTTAGCATAGTACACTCATGGTGAGCCACATTTACAGTGCTACTCAGGTCAAAGTCTACAGCTTGGAACACTTACTTCCCAATGGTTTTAAATCAGGCCCAAGAGATTAAGTGTACCATTAAACATAGTGGTGCATGTTATGGGAGGTACATGCCTGCCACTGGAACCAGCAGCCCTGCACTTCTGCTGCCTCCTCTCTGTCTTCTAGTAACATGGTGATGGCACTGTACAGCACACCATCCATTCTCTTTTGTTATAGGTTACTTGAGGACACAGGATATATCTGGCTTCTGGTGTGGATAGGATCCACATGTCTTCTACTATTCCATTCATGTTGTTGCTAGTTGTGAAGTCGTGTCTGACCCTTCGTGATCCCATGGACAACACTCCTCCAGGCCTTCCTGTCTTCCACCATCCCCTGGAGTCCACTTAAGCTCACACTGACTGCTTCAGTGTCTCCATCTGTCCACCTCATCCTCTGCTGTCCCCTTTTTCTTTTGCTGTCAATTGTTCCCAGCATTAGGGTCTTCTCCAGTGAGTTCCATTCATAGCCGCATTTATTTCAATGGGACTTAAATGTTCTCGCATTAGCTTATAGCAACGGTTCCCAGTTAATTTTATTTTTTTCCTTTACCTGTGCAACACATCTTGGTAAGAGTGGTTTAAATGTTAGCCCATTAAGAATTTTACATACCACGCAGCAGAAAGATGGAGGCATAGAAGCAGTCTTGTCCCTACCACTTAGAATAAAGAACAAAACAAGTCAAATTCCACCCAGTAGATGGCAGACACTAACTATCTCAAAAGGGGGGAAATGTAATTCTAACATGAGGAATTGCAGGTGGCAACCACCATTGGGATTTTCTTTTTCCTTCCTTTTCAGGGTTTTTGCCTCATTGATTCCATGGAATCACCCAATGAAAGTTCCATGCCATGTGTTTTGAGTGTTAATTAGGAGATTCCATTGTTATAATAGTGAACTGCCTTCTGCTTCTTAAAAGAATAGCTGGATACAAAGCTGCCCCGGCATATGGTAGCTTTCCCAACTGTGTGCATACAATGCATTTCCTGGTATAGCAGTGGAACTCTTTGTCCAACACATGTTCCTAACTCCTGCTTCCATTTTCATGCTGATTACAAGGAAGTACCTCCCTTTAAATATTGTCATTGTTTTTATCATATTGGTTGGTGGAGCTTTCCTACCATTCTTCCCTAACCTACACTATTTCAATATCACTCTCCCATTTTTGATTTGCTTTACCATTCTATCCAGGGTTGTTCATCGTAGCTGCTCTTAGGGCACTTTTGCCGTCTGGTGGCTTTTGGTTCTGCCCTTGTATTTTCAGATAAAGGAGAAGAGTTGGCTGGAGATGGAAGAGCTTGAGACAGGAGCAGGGTTGTACAGCAAGACCAGATATGCAATGAATATAATAATGATAAATTACAAAAACATTAACATTGAATGTATAGAACATTAGCCATTTCAGCAATTAATTACTAGTATCAGTAACAGAAATCAGTGCACCTACTACATTTAGGAAAAAATGGAAAAATAATAACTCACCATCTTTGTGCATGTGTGCATTTTGTTCCTTTAGGGAAAATATCCTTTTCTCCCCACATAGTTACATTCATTGTCGTTGATGATGATCTAGGCTAATAGTAGAAAAACCTGTGTACAGCGACAACTGCTTTGTTCACCTGCTTATTTTATGTAGTAAACAATTGGGTTCCCTCCACATAAGTTCAAACAAATTAAGGCTTTGTGGCCAGTCCAAGTGAAAACTGAAGAGTCAGCCCAAATTACAAGGACTGGCCCAAAGCAAGTACAAGGGGCTACCCCCTCTTATCCCATGCACAAAGCTTACTAGACCAGCAGATGAATCAGAAATTTGTGCCTGTGGAAAGTCCACAAGCAAGACATGAGCACAACAGGATCCTTCCATTTGTGTTTGCAGCAATTGATATGCATGGCTTTTGCACATAAGACATTTGTTGTGTGTTTGTTGTTCCTTACAAATGTTCTTTATATACATTGTGATCCTCCAGTTTTACTTCTATTTGTAAACCACTTTCCATGGGGGTGATATTTTCAAGAAGAGCAGGAAAATGGTGCATTATTTATGATTGCAAAAGAAAACATTTCTTTTTGTGCATTTGTGCTATACTACTATGCCACAATGCCATCCAATCCAGAGTTAATGTGGCAGAAAAGCAGGAAGCAAATGTTCACATCTCAGTTCTGTGATGAAACCAACACTAGATACAGTGGATTGATAGCCCTGTGTAGAAAAGCTCACAGCGGAATGCTGCCCAGGATCCTCCTTCAGGCTACAAAATATGAGATTCTGGTTTTGGAACAGCAAGCAAAAGAAAGAAATCTATCTTTTGTAAATAACCTGCTGATTTTTCAACTTTGCATTTCTTTCTCAGCCAAAAGGCTCCTAGAGCAGATTACCATCAGTAAAAGATAGGCCCTTCCTTCAGGTTTACAATCTTTAAAAAAATCACAGCACAAAAATGAGATGGGAAGGGAAGGGAGGGAAGCTCTTTTGAAATGCATATTAATAACAAAAGGGGGGAGGACAAACTTGCCAGTTTTTGAATGGATTCAAACTGCCTGATAGACTCTCATGATAATAACAAATACTCACTTTAACAGACTCAGGGGCATTAGACAAACCACACTCTTGGACATTAGGCTGCAAGGTTATATGCACTTACCTGGAAGTAAGTTCAACTGAATCAGGACTTTCAAGATTGGATTGTACAGGTAGAGACAGAGATCCAAGCATATATGCGTACATGTACATTTGTACTTGAGAATGTTTACAGTATATAATATCTTTAAATAAATGCACACAAGCATACCAAAAACTTGAACCAAAAGTACTGAATACTGTAGAATGATTTTAAATTTTTTCCCCTTAATATAAGTGGTTACTTCTTTTTCCTTTTAGGTCTGATGAAAGTAGCCATGTGGGGGCAAGATCTTTTTTTATTATTTTAAGATAATGATTAACAACGGTTCCTGAGTATTCCCTCTACCTACTGAACTCGTGTGCATTTGGAACGCACTTTGCCCTTGGGATGGATAGACAAGGAGCGCCGCGGGCGAATGCCAATCTTTTAACTAAGCCCGCCTTTGGTTTCCAGAAGCCCAATTCTAGGAGGAAATTCTCCCCACCCCGAGGAAGAGGAGGAACGAGGGCGGAGCAGCCTAAGCTGTCTAATAGCTAAGCAGCCGGGTAGAAGCAGCCGGAGAGAGTCTCTTGCTGCTGCTCCTGCTGCTGCGGCAGGTGGCTGGAGTGAAAGAGAGAGCGCCACCCCGATTGGACTCGGCGGCGGCAGCATCCCCAGCTCCCCAATATTCCCGCTTGGCTGTAATGTAAGCGGAGCCGTGCCCCTCCCCGGCGTTGACTCTGGAGATGAACCTGCAAGGGCTGACCCACGAGCTCTCCTTGTATCTGGAGAGCCGGTTCCGGGAGGGCTTGTGGGCTTCCAGCGTCGCTGGGTGGTCGCTGGTGCTGTGCTTCGGAGCCGCCTACACCTGCTATTACTTTAGCAGCATCGCCAAGGTAAGGGGCCGTCCTGAGCCTCTTCGTGGGGTCTGGAAGCGGGGAGGGCGGCAGTGGGATCCCACCTGATCGCCGGTCAAGCTCAGCGAGCGAAAAGGAAGCCGGAGGAGAAAGGCCGAGCCAGCGAGGTCACCGTCAGGCTAAGCACATCTTTCGAGTCCCGCCTGTACGGCGCTTGCCCTTGGCTGCCTTGGAGACAAGGAGACGCGAATGCCGGTTCAGGTGGTCCAGCGCAAGTCGAGGTCCCTTTGGGGGTGGGATGGGAGGTCTCATCCTCACCTCCCCCATCCTCACCCTCAGTTTCAACGAACACGGTGCGAATTCCCCCCCCCCCCCACACACACACACACCCCGGTATAACACGGTGCTTCAGTGTTTGCGCAGTACATACTGCAGATGAACCAGTGGCCGGTTTGTGGAGGGTATGGCCACGAGGAGGGGTGTGTGGGGTAAGGATTGGACAGACCAATGTAAATAGACATGTTGAACCCAAAACCAGGACTGGGTCTTGGAAGATTGTGTGCATCTGTTTTCGAATATGCAAAGTTAACTGAGGGATGATTTGCAACCATTTCCCCTTCAGGATTATTATCTAAAAACAAAATTTGCTTTTACTCTATAAGAACAGAAGAAAAGCCCTGGTGGATCAGGGAAAGGGTCCATTTAGTCTACCCTTCTCAATCTGGTACCCTTTAGATGTGTTAGACTACAATTTCCATCTTCCCAAACCAGCAAGGTCATCTCATTTGGAGGGCACCAAGTTGTGGAGCACCTGTTTAATCAAACATTTAGTCTTCTTTGCCCAGTGATCCACCAGTTGCCTCCAGAAAGCAAAAGGTGAGGGCAAGAGCTCACTCAAGTTCTCACTCCTCAGCAACTAGTATTCAGCAAATGCTTCCTGCATTCATTCATTCATTCATTCATTTAGGCGACTTCTATGCCGCCCCATTCAACGAAGCCTCTGGGCAGCTCACAAACCATAAATAAATAAAATTCAAGAAAACAGTATAAATTGACAATATAAATTACCAATATAAATTAAGTCACCCTGGCCAAAGAATAAAATGAATAAATAATATTAACAGTTAAAATAACATTTGAATAAAAAGGTCTTCGCCTGGCACCGAAAAACAAATAACGACGGCGCCAGGCGGACCTCTCTGGGGAGTGCATTCCATAGATTGGGCGCCACCGCAGAGAAAGCCCTCCTCCGAGTACCTACCCTCCTAATTTCCTTCACGGAGGGTTCCTGGAGAAGGGCCTCTCCCGCTGATCTCAAGGGGCGAGCGGGCATATATGGACGTAAGCGCTCCTTCAGATAACCAGGACCCAAGCCATTAAGGGCTTTATAGGTCATCACCAACACCTTGAATTGGGCCCGGACTTCAATGGGAAGCCCGTGAAGCTGACGGAGGACTAGAGTCATGTGAACATAATGCCCAGTCCCCGTCAGCAGCCTGGCAGCTCTATTTTGAACCAATTGAAGTATCCGGACCATCTTCAAGGGTAGTCTCATGTAGAGCGTGTTACAGAAGACAAGTGGGGAAATCACCAACGGGTGTGTCACTGTTGCCAGGCAGTCATTCTCCAGGTAGGGACGCAGCTGATGAATCAGCCGAAGCTGAAGGAAAGTGCTCCTCGCCACTGCTGTCACCTGAGCTTCCAATGAAAGCTCTGGATCGAGGAGCACTCCCAAGCTGCGGACCTTGTGCCTAAGAGGGAGTGCAACCCCATTCAGGACTAGGTTCAATTCACCCTCCCCGAAGCCGATCCGCCAACCAACAGGACCTCCGTCTTGCCTGGACTGAGCTTCAGTTTATTGGCCCTCATCTAGCCCATTACCTCGGCCAGGCACCGGTTCAGCACAGCCACTGCCTCACCTGGATTGGTGGAGAATGAGAGGTAGAGCTGGGTATCATCATGATTCCGTATCATGATTCCGCATCATGATTTCACAGCCCACACCTCCTGATTTATTTGGAATTATGTCTGATAACTTTTGTGACTTACACCATAGAAGTCCAACCTATTATACCTGTCTTCCAGGATCAGTAGACCTTGCATAGTGTTGTGCAAATGCAGAACAGACACAGCAGATGTAAGGGTGGCAGCAACATACAGTCAAGGTTTTAGAATTAATGGGACTGGTTAGGGAAGAATCAGGTGGCTATGGAAGGCAGCAGAAAACTAGGGTAGTGCAGGAAAAGTATTTCTGTAAGGGTAAGGCCCATAGGATTCGCCCTACAAACACTTTTTAGAGAGTTTTCCCCTAAATATAATGAGGGTACCTCTGTAAACCTTTTGGGGCAGCATATAAATCAAACAAATAAGTAAATAAATAAATAAAAATGCTCCCTCTATTATGATTGGAATTTGAGGTTCACAGTCGAAGTGAGAAATTTGGCCAGGCCCAGTTTCTTCCATGCTGGTCCAGAAAGGCCAAGTAAGATCAGGTCAAGTCCGCTTCTCTTTAAAGCAAAAGTTAGAAAATTCAAGACCAGGGATAGCTCCCAGGGACTCCTGCTCACTGGACTTCTTCCTATTGCAGCTATAGATATAATATTCCTTCTCAACCTGGTGTTTTGAACTACAACTCCCAAGCATTTGCAATTGTTGCAAGTGTTGGCTGGGGTCTGATAAGGGATGAAGACCAAAACATCTGAAGGGTGCCAGGTTGGAGAAAGATGGATTAGAGGGATTTGTCTCAGCAGATAATTATCTCAGAGTTAACGTAGCCTGACAAGACATGTACTGCAGTTTTCCTGCCTCCTCGGAGCGGAAGCCCATTTTTCTAAAGGACTTTTACCTGATCTGCTGTCCTCTGCAAGACAAGGGAGATAGAAGTGTTTTTTGAATCCAAGAGTGGTGTAAAGCTATGTTCACTAGCTAGGACGATGTGGGAGAAAGCACTGAAAGTGGAGCAGCTTTGAGGTCAAGAGTGATCATTCCTCTGAGCCTACTAATATCTCCTTCTTGTAGGTGGATGGTGCAGTTTGACTGCATAAAGAGCCACATGAAGAAACTGAGTGTGCTGTTAGTATATTACGATTGCTTCCACACTGCTTCCCATTTCCTTACTCTAATTCATTTTATACCTCTCCATCTTTTTGTTTGTTTGTTTGTTTGTTTTACTAGCATTGATCTTGTCTAGTCTGCATGAATTTCTAAGCATACATAGCACTTTCTTGTCTTCAGGGATGGTGTCTAAGGATCAAATCCAAATGGCATCCACACATACACACAAAGTACACAGGGAGTTCCCCTGGACAGGTCTCACTGACATAAGTGGGGCTTCTGCAAGTGTAGCTCTGTGTTCTGGTTCTGCGGTCTCTCAGATCTACCACCTGAAGCAGTCGCCTCACTTTGCCATACAGTAAGAGCATGTGAGAGACTTGCATGCATATTGCCCTTTTACTGGCCTGTACTTGTTTCCTAATTCTTTGTATTATGACTACAATGAATTGACTCAATCTGACTGTTTTGCACTTCCACCCACCTTTCGGGGCTAAACACTCATCTACTTTTCTCTTTAGAAACCTCAGCTGGTGACTGGCAGTGAGAGCTTTGGCCAGTTTCTACAGGACCATTGCCCAGTAGTGACAGAGACATACTATCCCACTGTGTGGTGCTGGGAGGGGCGTGTGCAAACCCTTCTTCGCCCCTTCATCACATCGCAGCCATATGTGCAATACAGGAAGTAAGTGACTCTCTCCTACATGACTACTCTCTTACAGATGCTTGAAGAAAGTTCTTTCCATATATAGGGAAGTATTCTATAATGTTGCTGTGCTTCTGCTGTTTGTGTTGTGCTAGCAGGACCCAGTGCTGACATGTCCTTAAGCAATCCCAGTAACAAGGGGGAATTCTTGTTTCTAGTATAGAACAAATTAGCAGAGCTTACTTCTGCAAGGCCTGCTGATCTGCTTTTTTTCCAGAAATGACTATTTTGGCTCATTTCCATTTCCTTAAGGATCTTTCAGCTTCCCGCTGCACTAGCTGAGAATACTACCCTTGCCAAGCATGTACTTTAAATACTTACTATATGCTGTTACATCAATCATCATAGGAACATAAGAAGAGCCATTCTGAATCAGATACAGCAAAGATCTATCTAGTCCAGCATTTTGTTCACATAGTCACCAACCAGATAATTGTGGGAAGCCCATGTAATACATGAATACAGTTCATGGTGGTACTGTGGGATGAAATAGATGTTTGTAGCCACCCTCAGCAGCTGTTCCCCACACATTCCAAGAATGTGTGAAGAAAGGCACAAAACGCATGTGCCAGCTGCCCCTCCAGACCTTTGCACACTGGACAGAAGTTATGAAGATGAAGCCTACGTGCTTTTAACTGAATACATATTATCTCCTCCATGTAATTAGGAGCCCTGATTGTGCAGGGCTCCTGCTTGCCTGAAAGAGTCTATATGCAAGGGTATGAGCATGGAGTTGGCAATGATGGGACAAACGGGGTCATAATCCCTCCCTCTCCATGTACAAGATTTTTGTACATATGCAGGGTATCTCTGGCAGGAGTTAGTATATCTACACACCTGTATGAATTGGTCAGCTTTCTAAGCATCAGATCCCATCTTGATTATGGCATATTAATGTAGTTAGGGTGCAATCCTTTGAATGTTGAGGAAGCAAAAAGGCCTACATCTCCTAGTATATCCCAGCCAACATAGGATTATGCCTTTACTTGGCCATACTAGGTAAATCACCATTATGGACTGCCCTGAAGCATCAAGCAGTCATAATAAGCCCAACAGATGAGTGATGCGACCTATTTCCCACAATAGGTTGTGTTTTCTGAGGTTGGATGACACAACAGCTAATTACAGTAGGGAGAACCCTAAACAAGACAGCTACTTCTTACCAGGGTTCTCAGCCACAGTAAGTCACAGTGGAAAATCACCATGACTGGGTTTAGAAAATGCAACAAACAATTGTTGATAATAATCAATGGTTGTTATTGTGTAGTGTAAACCCTGTCAATCACACATTCAGCTTCTAGCTTTGAAAAAGAGAATAATGACAATCTGAATTATATAATGTCACACCATGGAAAGCAGACTTATTTTCTAATGATTTCTATCAGGGAATTTACCAGCATTCCTAATTCATCTAGTAAATTCATTATATTTAAGGTTTCTCTCGTATTATTTAGCTAAATATTAGTAGGTAAACAAATGGTATTTACCTCTTCAATCATCATCAGGCATGCCTGTGCAGAAGAGCTATTAACCAAGAGTCCTCCTGGAAATAAAATTGACCCTATATTCCTAATTAATATTTTCTTCCAGAAGGCTTTCCTAAATTTGCTTCTCAAGTTTCCTTTATTGGTGCTTTCTAGCTTAAACATATTGCTTGCTCACTGCAACTGCTAGACAAGAAGCATGATGGATTGTTTTTCACTATGGTTCTGTTCACATTATTCTGCTTACACTGTAATTTATTTATAAAACTGACTTATAAGGTTAGTTAATAAGCTATTTTGGCTTGTTAACCACTCCCCTGCATCCTGGGGATGTGCTGGATGATTTTCCTAAATACCTTCAGAGGGCATGGGTTGTCCATCCACCCACCCACATGAGTTTAGACATCATGGCAACCTAGGCACTATGAGGATAATGATGTGTCTGCACATGGGACATTTCCTGAGGAAACAGGAGGGAGTGGAAAAGGTGGTGGTGGGGAAATAGCTCTTTAAAAATGTATTTTGAAAACTAATCAATATTGGTTCTTCCAGTGAACTCATTGCAGCAAAAGATGGAGGACAAATTTCCTTAGACTGGTTTGATAATCATGATAGCACACGTTACCCAGATTCAAGCACCAGGCCCACTATCCTATTGCTTCCTGGCCTAACAGGAACGAGCAGGGAATCCTACATTCTCCATATGATTCAGCAAAGCAAAGCACTGGGATACAGGTATAATCACTTCCACGTACTGATGTTTCTGTATGTATAGCAAAGGTTAAATTTCCATAAGTGTAAAACTGCTGTCATTTACAGTATGAAAAAAGTGGTAAAGTCAGAACTAGAGAAAACTTTTCATCTCTTCTTTTGCTTTCACCTACCAAGCAGACCCTTAAGTCTTTGCCAGAGACTCCTTTGGGAGCTGTCTCCAACAGAATCCAGCTTCCAGTGGCCACCAGCCTCCAGTGGTCACCACAATCACAACAGGAAGCCCTCTCAGGAGGGCACATTGCCACCTTAAAGTGGTTGTTCCAGAAATATTTTTAGTATCAGTTAATGACTGGAGAGAACCTGGCTTGATTGAAGTACGTGTATCTGGTGGCTGTTACAGTATAATGGTTATGGAAGAGAACTGTGAACTAGAAGTCTGTGGCTCAAATTGACCAACCATGAACTCTAGCCGTATCCTTAGGTAATGGCTATTGCTTATCCTCAGCATCCCCTTCTTGCATGTGCGATATGAGCATAAAAATATTCCGATACTAGAAAAAAATTATATAAGACTAATTGAGAAATCATGCAAAAGCAGCCTGCCCCTCTAAGTGGAGGTGGTGATGGTGGGGTTAGACAGGCATCCCAGAGCTCAAATGGGAGGTATTGGGTGACAAGGAATTTCTTAAGTCTTGTTCCATGTCCACATTCCTCTTGGTGCTGAAGAAATATTGCTACCCTTATTCTCAAGTAAATATTCTTTAAAAAGAGGTCAGTTGCCAGCATTGGCTAATGATATGCCCCTGGGTTAGGGCCTGCAGTTCCAAAAGCAGTTAATGGGGAAGTGAGCCGAAGATCAGGCATTCCCTTCCACTAGCCTAAAACTACCCAACCCGCTTTACCTTCCTTAATTCAGCTTACAGCACAGCAGTTGTATAAAGGACTGCATTATATATTTAAGTGCTGTCCCTGGCCAAAAAAAATGTGCACCTATATGTACTAATATTGGCCACAGGTACAGACCTAGTAGTTTGAAGCCAATGCACATGTGTTAGTTAACTTTACTTACAAGTGGGTGCAGGGTGGCTTTCTCCCACTTCATTATTGCCCAAGTATAAAGGTCTGCAAATACATCAATAGTTTAGAATGAAAGCTGACTTCAAATTGAATTAAATTCCTGTGTATAGATAACCCAATAACCTTCACTCAAGGGTTGAGTAAGGGTTGAATGTTGAATGTTGAGTAAGGAATTACTATTGAACTGTGGGCTGATGTTAAAACATGGTTTATTGTATTTCCTGAACCCAACTGCACTAACAAGTTATGGTGAACAAGCCACAGTTCCCAACACAACAACAAACCACAGGTTGTTCGTGATTAGCAAGTCATGGCTTTTTAGTCCAGCTATGTTCAGATAATAAACCATGTTTCAACAACAACTCACAATTCAATGACAACCCACACTCAGCCCTTGAATATGGGTTCTTGTGCTGTCTGAACCCAACCACAGACTTGCAGTAAGAAGTCTTCGCAGTCTGTGGATAGGCAGTTTAAATAGGAACGACAATGCTATATATCGTATGTCTGCATAAATATGTTGGCTAACCTAAAATTCTAAACTGGAGCAGCTTTGAAATGCATGGATCTTCACATCCAAAGACACTCAGGTTAACAGTCCTGGTAAACAGTGCTCTTTTGTTTTTTTAAAGGTGTGTGGTTTTTAACTATCGAGGAATGGCTGGTGAAAATCTCTTGGTAAGAATTGCTCTTAAATTAAGTAAGAATGTTGAGCAACCCTAATGCAAAGTGAAAGGGCCAGTGCCTGGAAGCATGCAACACTTCTAGAAGCAAGTCATAGGAATGCCATCACAAGGAGGGTTAGTACCTAGTTGGCAATTTCAAATTCATCCCACCCCAACTAATTCAGCATAAAAATAACAAAATAAAAACTGTTGCAACATAGCAACAAGCATCACACACTCTGTGAGTGTTTTAGTTGCATTCTCCTTTGTATTTACCACCAGTTCCCATACAAGAATTTGCCAAAAATGGAAAACAAAATATGGACTCTTAGCTCTGTTCATTAAATCAAAGCAGTAATTCCATTTAATACTGGAATTGCATTTAATACTATAATTCTCAAGTTGTGTGGCAAAGCTGCATAAGAAGGGAGAAATTCTGTTAGCAGGGATGTAAGTTCCACAGTGGCCCTTCCTGACTCAAGTACTGTGAAGGCCTTGATACAAGCGGGAAGCAGAATATAAAATCATTCTTCCCAACTTTCCATGTCTATGGCAGTGCCATATGACAAGGCTGATCCCCTGCTGGGGCACCTGCCATGGACTTAAGTCCCAGCAGGAATTCACAGAAAATAATTTCTGGATTTACTTTTCCTCCTCATCCTTGCAACCTGCTTTTTCTTGTGCTCCTTGCTCCAGCTCAGGCAAAGGGGCAGTGAAAAGGAGGAATAGTATGCTCAGAGAGCCATTCTAGGGGATTTGTACTTAGGAGCAATAAAGAAAGTTGCAAGGAAAATGGTCTGTGACTGGTGATTGTTCAAAGAAGGAACTTCAGCTCACAACACTCCTCCTTAAACTCAGAAGCACTCCAGTTGCTAGAAGACATAAGGACACATTCCAAAAGCAGACTAATAGGAAATGTAGCATTAAGGCACCAGCCTTTTAAACTAGAGGGAACCCCCGCCCCCCACCTACCTTTCCCATAGTCTGTTCATTATTTTGATCAAGACCTAGTCTAGGTCTTTATACTGTTGTAAAGCAGATTTCTCAAGTGCACCTGACTCTACAGAGACTTGCCTATCCAGCCAATCCAGGGCAATTGCATTTGTTCCTTGCAGCTCTGACCAGAGGAAAAGCAACCACACTGGTTGCCCACATCTCAAATGGGGCCTTCCACATCTGTTGTTCCCTCCAGGCTGGCCAAGACACCTTACCATGGGAGAAAACAGAAATGGGGTTGCTTGCAAACAAATGTTTGTTTCATTTTTTTTCTCTGAAATCAAAATCCTTGTCTCCCCTGTCCATACTTCCTTTTTCACAAATATCCTTTATAGGCACACACACTTTGGGGCTGAAACAGTTCGCCTGGCTTTGAGCACTACTGTGCACCTTGACTGGGGCTGCAGGGGAAGCCTTCATTTGCTGCTCTGTCTTAGGGAGTAAAATATCTTGGGGCCAGCCCTGGACACAGCTCTAGAGACTGGTGGTGTGGGAAAAATAGCTGAGAAAGTATAGTAAAGTATGTGGTGTAGGGAAGCCACTGGGACTACAGAGAGATCTATGAGTAGAGAAACATGTTCAGGATTACAACAAATTTACAGTGTAGCCCTCCAAACAGTGTTTACTCCAAAGTAAGTTGTGCTGAATTCAAAGGGTTTTACTCTGGGGTAGGTGTAAGTAGTATTGGAATCTTACTGCTTAAAGTTTACTCAGAGTTGCAACTTGCCTTAGTCAATCTAAAACTAATTCTGATATACGAATCTAGAAACAAACTTGGGGGTGGATAACTTTTGTCATTTTAAAAAACAAACAGCACCCACAGCCAAAAAGGAGCCATGCTAGCCCATGAGAAATAAAAGCCTCAAATCAATAGTCTGCCATTAACTTGATAAGATTTTTTTGTTGACCCTATTTAACTAAGTATATTGATACTTTTAGAGTTGTTATATTATGCTGTGCTAGAAATTTAATGTTGTAACTCTTTGTTTAAATTTGCATTTGCAATTTTGTTTGTGTGGGTTTGTTCTGTGGGCTTGAGTTCTAAGTTTCAGTACTTAGCATCGCCCTTGCTGCCCAGAGGGGGAAAGTAAGGCAGTTGCTGCCACTCCTCCCTACCATGTTCTTTTTCACTTACACTCTGGCTCTCTAAGCAATTGAACAGAAGATGAGGAGAGGGAACCATAATCGGGAAGTGAATCCATCAAAAGGGTAGGAAGAAGTCTACCAAAAGCATTTTGTTGACAGTACTTTCCAAGAAACCAGATCTGATGATGGGCTTGCAGGTAGCACAAGGAGAAACAGAAACAAAGTTCCCTATTTGCTTAGACCAGTAACCATACATTTTTAGGACTCAGGGAATATCTAAGGTACCTTAACAATATCTGCTAATCGACCATCTGTCCATCCTTCCTTCAATTTGCTTATCCATAAACCATGGACATGTCCGTTTAGTGCAACTTTCCTATCTCTCTGAGCTACAAGACACTCTCAGCTCAGCTTGCAGAGGTTTTCTCATCTACAAGTCCATAACAGTGTCAGCAAGGTCTGAGCTCATGCATTCTTGCCACTCCAGTCTGAACTTGCTGTTCAGAGGGAGTCATCCCTGACAAAGCACACAACAATGACTCTTATCAAGTTCCTGTTTGCTACCAGAAGAGGAAGTGCCAAGAAAGAGAAACCATAGAGTCATTTCCATGTACCTTCTTTCCCAGTCAGATTGCTGATTGGGAAGTAACTAAAGTATCCTCTCCATCCAGGCAAACTAAAAGCAACAGCACTGCAATGTGGTGGAGGAGGCAACTTCCCCAATGTAAACATTTCAGTGATACTATTCTATATTGCTGGAATGAAGACAAGCCTCCCTTGCAACAATGTCTGTGTGTGGACGGGGGGGGGGGGGGCAGTCAGAGCCCTCCCCCAGTGCCATATGGGCCTTGAGTGCAAGTTGTATTTCCCTTATCTAGGGCAATACATGTAACTCCTGCATGAGGCATGCCTACGTTTTTCCTAGGAAAGCCTGTGTATTGTTCAGCTACATGCCTGTTCTTCCTAGCCTGTGACATATAATCCCACCCAGTACTGACAGACTACCAAGTCATGGACTTGAAAAGAAGACAAATGAAGGAACTAGAAAAGATCATCAACTGGAAGGATGTTTCACTGGAGACCAAGACCAAGATCAACCACAGCATTGTACTCCTGCTCACTATGTATAGGCCTGAAAGCTGTACAGTGAAGAAAATTGAAAGGAAGACAATTGATACAACCTGGTGCTAGAAGAAACCTTTGCAAATATCCAGACCTGACAGAAAGACAAACAAGTGGGTCCTAGGTCAAATCCAGCCAGGACTTGCCCTGAAACAAACAGGATGAAAATGAGGCGGCTGTCATATGTGGGGAACATCATGAGAAGACTAGACTCACTGAAGAAGATAATAATGCTAAGGAAAGTCAAAGACAGAAGAAGAAGCAGAAGACCAGCTAGACAGATACATCTATTCCATAAAGGAAGTCGCAGCACTGAGCTTATAAGAGCTAACTTGGACTGTCAAGGACAGGACATTTTAGAGGGCATAGGGTCACCATAAGTCAGAGCAAACTTGAGGACATGTAAAAACAAAATCAAAACAGATCCACTATCATGTTCATCCTTTCTAAAATAAGATTCCCCCCTCACCTGAAAACCAAAACAGAAAACAAGAGGATAAATTTGTCTTCAGAGTTAGGATTTGTGAGAATTGGATTCATTATACATTATACAAATTCTTGAAGTTCTGTCACATTCACTATGTTGAAAGCTTCTGCAGAAGTTTATTGAATGTGAAATACTATTACTTACTGGGCTGCCCTACACATTTAACTTGTTGGTTTCAAATTAGCATTTATAATACTTTCCTTTAAAGAAAGCAGTGTGAGAATTAGTTTACAGCATACTTTTGGAAATACATGAACAAAACAGCTTTGTGGCACACTAAATCCCTTTTGTTTATATTCAGATTATGTGAAAAGATCTTTTGTTTGGCTGTATTTTGTGAAATTCCATATAATCAGCTTTATATAATTTACCATTAAACAGCTTTTTTTCAGTATAAACAGTGGCAGTTGTAACCTGTTCAGTGGGGAATTTCCAGCATTATAATATATAATCCTATCTAATGATTTGAAACCATAATCAGAAAATGTATTATAGACAAGTACAGATATAGTCAAGGAAATCTTTTAATCTGTAGAGCAGAAGTGATTTCCATCTTTTTAGCAATTATTGCCTTTTGAAAATATGAAATTATAACTAACACTCTAGAAAGGCAATAACAGTGTAATCATGTGCATGTTACTTGCAAGTCCACTATGTTCACTGCAGCTTACTTCTGGATAAATGTGCACAGGCTTGTATCCCAAGGCCTTCTTTCCAGAAAAAAAATTAGCTAAGTAAATAACTTGGGAGTTCAATGGCGCTTAGTTCCAGGTAAGTCCATGTAGAATTACTGCATGTTGCTGTGCAAAAAGAAATAATTCCCCATTAAACATGTTTAAACCTTGCATATGGTAAACAAATGTTAAATACTGCTTTGTTGCCTCTGCCATCTGGGAGTTTAGCATGAGCAAATCTGAAGCATTTAATAGAGTATTTGAAATATTACAGCCAAACCCACACTCTGATTACATTGAATTGCCCCATGTGTTCCCCTCCTACCTATCTGTCAGAGACTGTGCTGTGCGTAGATGTACATTGTGTGCCATATTTTAGAGTGGATATCATTCGGGATACTTGTCTTAAGACATTTACTATGGTGATGTGTATGTGCGCACATGTTGCAATCACAGCAAAGCAAGATATGGTTCAAAAAGATTCTAAAATAATCTTCACATACTAGCATAACTTACTAGTATAATCTCTACATAACAGTTATTTACTAGTAACAATCCACAGAAACAAATGCAGGGACCAAACCCTACAACAAATCCTAATTCCTGTATCTGCCTATCTACTCAGTACCTAATAATATCAACCACAGATTGAAGAGATCACTCCCTCTTCATCTTCTGTGCCATCGTCTGCCAGCAATGTCCTGCATTCTGGACAGGCAGGTCAATCTGTATTCTATGCAAAAGAATACCTGGATACAAATCAGACATTAGAAAAGCAATAGTCAGAAACCAGTGGGAACATATTTCATCCTACCAGAGCACTGTGTTATTGACCTGAAAATGAACAAAGGAACTTTAGAGGGAGACTCCAGCATTAAATCATAACTGTTGAAGAAATCCTGTTCTATTTCCTGTGGATGGAATCAAGATAGTAGGCTTTTATTCCACTCCAGCTATTAAATGTATAACAGATGCCAGGATATTTGTGTTAACATCAACACTACTTTTGAATGGTGACTATAATTATTTTCCATGTATTTAAGCTTTACTATAATTATAATAATCTCTGTTTTTTGCATTTCATTTTTCTATCATCTCACTGCTTGCTTACTTCTCTGCTTACTTACTTCTCTGTATGCACCCATGTGTATATGCTAACTTAGGATAACACTTTGTGTATCTGATGAAGTGGATTCTACCTTGTGAAAGCTCTCAAATTGTATTATTCTTTAAAATGTCACAAGCCTCTTGGATATTTACCATTTGAAGTTACCAGTTGATAAGACCTCCAGCCTTCACCATATATCAGACTATGTGGCCATGATAGGGGAAGGGTGGTAGAAACTCACACCATATTTTCATTCACACAGACCAAGTAACCACATACAAGAAAACCCTTTACCATGATGAACTGGATGTCTCTGTTACCTAATCCACCACTAGAATCTAAACTTATACTTCTTTTAAGAACCATGTCTGTGAATAACTTAAATTTTATGTTAAACATGGATGCATTTAATTGAGAGTAAAACAGCTGGCTTGCAACTTCGTATGTCCCAACTCTGGATTTGGCCAAATAACTGGCATATGGGAGTATGAGTTAATGGCAAAGAGAAATGTCACCTTTGACAATTCCTGACACCTACAAGACCCCATCTGCAACAAGTTTTTCCTTAGATTGATTGATTTCTTGTTTCAGAGTCCAGCTGTCCAATCCCTGATACTCCAAGGTTCCCTGCATTAATTTTAGAGGGAAATGCAAAGTTCCGTTAATTTCTAATTTCTCTGTATTTAGCACTTCTGTGCTTCAGCCTACCAACTATAACACAGGAATAACAATGTTTACTTGTTTTACAAGCTAGTACAACAATTACTTGTTGATAGATGTGCATTATATAAATGTGTAAATTATATATCATTGTATAGGTTATAATGAGATAGAACATGGTATGTATTACCATTTTGCAGGTTAAATTGACAAGGCTAGTGGGACAAATCTATCCTAATTTGCTATGGCAATTAGAATTCATTGGAAAATGGGTAGAGTATATTACAAAGTTTTATGACATGGTGCAGCTAAACCCTTCCCATATGCCCTTTCTGGGCAATTCTGCCCCAGTTATGAGTTTTGTGCCCACAGCTAGAGTGCTTCTGGTGAAAGTGGCTATTGAAAGTGTTGCCATGCTTCTGCACACTCTTGTGGTGTCTTCAGCTGGACACCAGTGCAATATTAATGCTGGTGCAATGGTCTTTATATCTAACTATGCACGTGTTTGCAGTTAGTCTCCTAATTCTAATTACAAACACACTGTAAACACCTTTCATAGAAAATGCAACCTTGGTATGTTGCAACCTTAAGTTGCATAGTGAAAGCTATTTGAGGGTGGGAAGTAGAAAATGTTTTAAATGAATAAATAAATAGTTGTGCAGCTCATGTTCAAAGTGTGTACCTTTGAAGTCATGCCTTGTCAAGCAACATGGGTTAGATCCAGTCTTATCAGGGACAAAAATATGCTGGTGCCACAGGAAGATGTATGCAGATCCTTCCTTTTCACTGTAAATATGTTCAGAAACATTGAGCAACTCTCCACATCAGCATGAAAAGCTGTGTGGGCAAATCAGGAAAATTGCTCCCTGCCTTTTCCTCCAATGAAGAGCCTCCACTACATCATAGTTTGTTCCAAGAATGGAAAAAGCCCTTCAATTCAGAGCATGGCCAGTCTGGATCTAATCCCAAGTCTTCTCAAAAATATCTTTGTGGCATAAGTTAACATTACTATATTCTATTGCTGTATAAAGTATCCTGGTGCTGGTTTGTTCTGGTTTTGGTTTAAGGATAAGCATACATGCTAATTGTATGTCTTTCCCCTTTTAACTCCTTAAAGACACCAAGGACTTATTGTGCTGCTAATACAGAAGATTTGGAAACTGTTATCCATTATGCATACAGTTTGTACTCCTCAGCTATGTTGATGGCAGCTGGTGTTTCTATGGGAGGGTAAGTATTTATCTAACAGAAGTCCCAGTAGTGTTGTTCTCTAGTCATAAGAAAGTACAACCTTCATACAACCTACATACCTAGTACAACTTTCATGGTAAATTAACCAACTTTAATTTTTCATCCTACTTCTACTTTTCCTGAAAGGAGTATGAACTGATGGAATAATTTTAAAGGTGCATTGAAGCAGCATTTAGCTATAATACTCAATCTTGAATGAAATGTCACAGATGGTGGTTATATACCACCAAGAATATAATCTTGTTCTGTGGTTATGTAAAATAGAACAAGATGCTAGTCCTTACTCCTGGCTTCTGAAGGCAACAGAATATGATAATAATGAGGGCAATGAAGCAGGTTTGGAGACGGCTAGAGCGTAGGTGGAGGAAATCACGGGATGAATCTGACCGAACACACTTAAGAGCCCACTATCGGGCCTATGCTGTGGCGGTGAGGGCGGCGAAAAAGAGATACTTCTCCGCTTCCATTGCCTCCTCACAATGCCGTCTGGCGGAGCTCTTTCGAGTGGTGCAAGGCCTGGTTCGCCCAGGCCTGAAGGAAGAGCTGATTCCACCCTCAAAGGCCCGCTGTGACGACTTTGCCGGGCATTTCAGGGAGAAAATCGCTCAGATTCGTCATGAGCTGGATTCCACTATTGATTCAGAGGTTTTAAGGGAGACACCAATGCTGCCGTCTGGTCCAGAATTATTGGATGAATTTCAGTTATTGCGGCCCGATGATGTGGACAAGGTGCTTGGACAAGTACGTCCTACCACTTGCCTTTTGGACCCTTGCCCGTCTTGGTTAATAAAGGATTCCAAGCATGGGATTGGAACCTGGATTTTGGAAGTGGAAGTGGACCTCTCAGCGGCTTTCGATACCATCGACCATGGTATCCTTCTGGATAGGCTGGCGGGATTGGGGGTCGGAGGCACCGCTTTGCGGTGGTTCTGCTCCTATCTCAACGAACGATTCCAGAAGGTGGTGTTGGGGGACTATGGCTCTGCGCCATGGCAGCTTTGCCATGGAGTACCGCAGGGTTCCATTTTGTCCCCTTTACTGTTCAACATCTACATGAAACCGCTGGGAGAGGTCATCAGGAGGTGTGGGCTGCGGAACCATCAGTATGCTGATGATACCCAGCTCTACCTCTCGTTTTCCACCAATCCAGGTGAGGCAGTGGCTGTACTGAACCGGTGGAAAACGAGAGGTAGAGCTGGGTATCATCAGCATAC